CATGGGAAATTCAACAATATATACCTATAACATCGTTTGTCAGTTCTAGGTGTGTCAGCAAACCATTCCACGGTCTCGATTCGTTCTTCACACATTTCCATCCCTATTTTGATTTCTCATTTTTTTTCTATTTTTCAAAAATATCGAAATTATTTTGAAATTATTTTGATCACAAAAAATTTAATCGACTTTTCTGAAATAGGAATTTTTTTACAAAATAAAAAACCGTTTCCATTTGTTAAATTACAAAAATAAACTTTTGTACAATTTTCTGATGCACATAACCTAGAAAAATCTAAAAACAAAACGATGGGCTTCTCTTCTGCTTGATAAAATTCGATAAGTGATTCCAATTCATTTGGAGCAAAAATTTTGGGTCAAAAACATGGAGCCTTCGTCACTGTCACAACGTCTGGATCGGTTTGGTGACAGCAAACTGTCAAGCCGGTTTCATCCTGTTGCCGCTTATATTGCTCAGTTTATCTACTTTGTTTATATAGAGTGTGTGTGCAATTGAAATCCAAATAAATACTTAGTAAGTATTCGCGTTCTGTGCAAATTTATCACTGCGCAATGTATACGTATGTGTGCAGCACGAGTTATTGGATATATTATACAGGGTGTTTGGCACCAAATTGACATCGAGCCCAAGAATTTTTGTGTTCATAGAAGAGCATCTAGCATCGGTAAAATATGCACATTGGATTAGTTGGGATTGGTGTGGTCTTAAAGTGGGAATTTCTTCCATTTCATCATTCTCGATGTTCCCACAAGATTGTAATTTAAAAAAATATCTTTGCTGGTATAAGTTTTGTTGGATGTTGTAATATGAGTGGTGATATCGTTTTTGCGTCCAACCGGGAGCTAATATAAATCCATTCGCACTGGGGAAAGAATGGCGAGAGTGTAAGTATAGTTGAAACCAGCCGAGTTAAGCAGTGGTGTCAAATTTTTACATCACCTGTTTGCAAAAACCGGCAAAATGCGTTTGCACATACGGAAAATAATTTTATTGTAGCTATTTTTGGAGGTATAAAATCTAATTCGGATCGAATACCCTGTATGCGAACCTCATCTTTGCTTCATCATTTTCCATGCATCAGCCTCACTGGATAATTTTTTTTTTCATTCTTATTTTTATTATGTATTTTTTCTTCTTTTCCCGTTGTATGGCGTTTACATATGCATCCACGTATCGATGCAAGAGCGACAGAGACGAAGAGCAAGGGCATACATATTTGTGTGATCTTAGTGTATAACTGTGCGGAACATTTGCACTGAATTTAGCGTATGATTGTTATAACATTATCGATATATCGGGGCGCTCATATAATGTTGTGATGTGTGCTGCCTTTGTCGCTGTTGTTGTTGCTGCTGCTGCTGCTGTTGGTTCTGCGCGCTTTTACAGCATGTTCGATGTGTATCGTTCTATCGTGTACTAATGTGAAAATAGAGTAGACAATAATGTGCTATCGTTGAGTTCAGTTTGGTTTGGCTTTTTCGCACAAAATTCAAATGGTGTGCAGCACGTACAAAAATCACATGAATTATAGATAGGTTTTTATATCTATGATCAATCTTTGTATGGGATTTTTGCTTTTATTCCGTAGAATTGTGCACATACATCCAAATATACTTACTACATAGCAAAGTTTGCTTTTGTGCCGAAACTTTTCATTTTTGCTACGCTCTATGTGTAAAACTACTTACAGTTTTTGGATGGTCGCATTTTATGATCGTTGTTCTTTTGTGTGTATGTGTGTGTGTGTATGTGGTATGAGTGATCACTTTTAATCAAATATCTCTCTTTCGTCTCGCTCCCGCTCTTTCTTTTTTCCCATTTTATCTCTCTTTCCCACTCTATCTCCCTCCCTCCCTATCTCTCTCTCTCTCTCTCTCTCTCTCTCTCTCTCTCTCTTCATCTCTCTATGTACTTGCTAGAAAATATGTGCGCTTTGTTTTCCATATCCAAAACCACACTAACGTTGTATTGCAGCACTTTGCAAACACATTTTGTTAGTCGTTACATATTACAACCATCGACAATCCAGTTGGCTTCTACTGCTCGCTTATTCTCTGACGTTTTGTGTACGCTCTTCTTTTACTATGTGCACGTCCACACATATGATGTCATGTACCCGTGAATCAAATGAAAAGCAGACTGTGCTTTTTTTATTTGTTTACTTTTCTGCTTCTCTTTCTGCCCTCGCTTCAACTGTATTATTTTCACGTTGGTTGGGATTTTTTTTTGTGTTTGTGTGTGTGTTGTGTTCGTCGTTGTAGTCGTCAAGTTTCGCCTGATGACTGAAGAAACAGAGGGCAAAAAAGTGGCACAACGACGATAAAAAATCTTACTTTTTCGCTTTGTACAGGGTGAGTAGATGGTTTCTGGATTAAGATTCGCGGAGAAGCTTTCGTATGCCAATCCATATGACATATGACTAGAAAATGTTCAGAGCCAATTCATCAGTTGAAAGTTTTGAAATTTGTCATAGGGTCAGGTGGGGCGAATCGGTCCACCAGCCTTTTCTTGTTACGGGCAATACTTACACTATTAAACCTATATGTCATTTGAAAGAGCATCGAAATTGTGACATTTGGTAATATGGTTTTGACATGTTTCAGTCAAGTACAGAGAGCCCACAGGCATACACGTGTTTTGTGCTAGTGCAGAAATAATTTTTTGTGTCTACAGAATTTAAGTTTTGACCATTATAATTTAATATTTTTTGAAAATTGGTGAGTGTATTTTGTAGCTTAAGACGAGCTCTTTCAAATGGAAATAAGTTATTTTGAATATTTTTAATATTTGTGGTTGAATCGAGCTCCGAACACAAAAGTAGGTGGTGGGGCGATTCGGTCCACAAACACAATGGGCAATTAGCGTGTTTTTGGGGACCTCAATGGGGTCGGAAGGGGTGGTTGACTGAGTATTTTTGTAGCACCATCAATTACCTTTCCAACGGTACCACGGGTTTGACAATACGTGGACTACTTCTTAGATAAATAAAAATCGGCGCAAAGTCATTTTTTCGAATTTTGGGCCAAAATTCGCCTGTAGACCGATGAAAATAAGTAGTGTCACTTTAGGCGAAATAACTTCGTTTCTAGCGGTCCAAATTCCATGAAATTTTGACACAACATCAGCGAAGGATCGACAAATCTAACATCAATACTTTTCTGATGAAAAACTTATGAAAAAGCACTATAAATGGGGGTGGACCGATTCGCCCCACCATTTTTTGCAGAGCCCGAAATGGAAGCATCCGCCCGAAAAGAGGTCAAATCAAAAAATGTTCTTCTATAAAAGTTAGGTATTGAATCTAGCTACAAGATAAAACCAAACTTTCATGATTTTTTTTAAATTTTTTACGGAAATATTAATTTAGGAGAAAAAGTGGCCCGATTCGCCCCACCTGATCCTATACAATCGATATCATATGGTATCGATAATACCTCATTTTGAAAATATTACATTGTGAATCTATGTTGAAAGTGCCCCGAAACGGTACCATTTACCCAGTCCAATGGACTGAATGAAAAAAGCGCCATACACAACTCCGCCGCTGCTGTTTGTAGACATTCCATCGCATACATATGCCATATTCCACTGTTTGGCTCGACTGCATAGTATATGCGACCTTTTATATAAACATTCTCACCCTCCCTCTGCCTCTCCATCTTTCCGTCTCTATCTCTTTCGCTAAATTTTCCGTTACATAATAATGCCCATTTTATTGTAAACAAAGTGGCAGCGCTGAATTTTGAAGCATTATACATAGCGCAAAATTGAATAGACACTGAGGCAATTAGGTCTTTACGTTTCCATACCGAAAAACATCGTCGAAATTTGTGAAACGGCAAAAAGAGACTCTCTCTCTCTTCTGTGAACGAGAGAGAATCGAACAACCATTTATAGTGCTTTTACAAAATGGTATAAGAAATTGTTCGAGCAGATGCGGAGAAGGGGATTCTGAGGGAGGTATGGTCGCCCCCATTTCAACTGGACATTTGCACACTATCTCGGCATCAGAAGAGCCAGGCGAAAGAGAGAATGAGACAGAGAGAAACATATAGACTGAAAATCAATCCTGTGCCACAATCGTCATGTGCGATTGTGTGTTGAGAATGGCTCTTGGAAAATTGTTCAGAAAAATACGATTGAAGCATTTTGTTGTTAATGTGGGACGACGGAGGAACGAATGTGTGTCGTTTTCGCCGTCGTCGTCGTCGTCCTCGTCCTCGTCATCATCATCGTCGCTTTGCGGCCCAACACATGAACATTTTTGTGGTCCTATAAATATGATGCTTGGCGCGCTCACTCTATCTCATTCTCGCTTCCCGATTCTCGCCGTTTGATAATATGCGCAATATCGGCATGTGCGACGTAATATTTGTATATATGTGAATGTTTTGGTGGATAGATGGATAGATAGATGTGTGCGTGTTTATATATACGGTATATAAACATTTTAAGAGGAAAATGTGGACATATAGCTTTATAGTAGCTTTGGCGTTGTGCTCTCTATTCTGATTTCATTTGAAATGTCAAACTTATGAAACGGTAGGTAGCAAATTTCAAACACACGATAACGACCGTATGTATTACAATGCATAAGCACATTCACCAGCACGAGCGAGACGTTCACGTACAACGAACGAAGACTGGAACGAAAGAAGATGGAAAAAACCCAACAGTTGTGGAGTAAAAAGAAAATTTTATCAACGCGCAAAAATTTGCAGCTTTCCGATTTCACTGTGTGTCTTTTTCGTTAGTCATGTTTGTTTTGTTTGCAAGAAAACAAAACAAAAAACCCGAATATCCAGACAAACTCTATATAATTTGTGGATAATTTCGTCAGTGGTTGTTAGTGGTCTTGTCAACCGTCCGCATTTGTGCCAAAGATGCTCCAAAACGAACGAACATATCCAACTCGTACGGAATACAAACATGGGCTGCTCTATCAAGCTATCACGATAACGGAATAAAACGTCAATGCTTTACGAATAATGTTCAATTTGTATATCGGTTTTCATTTATTGCCAGGGAAAAAAACAGTTGTTCAATGAGACAAATGCGTTAGTTGTTAATAAGCTATAAGTGTAAAACGGCATCTAAATTCTTAGGCATAGCATTTCTTCACACAAATATAACCTTCTTCATAGAAAAATATAACCTTATCACATAAATAAATGGTTGAATTCACACGATGACAAAACCTGAATTTTGTAGAAAAAAAAAGGCACTTTGATTGCCATTAATCAACCGCGACGATATACATAATTTCAACGAAGTAAAAGAACAATTGCATCAGTTTTGATTACATCAGCATTGCTTTGGGAAATGAATGCTGCTGCTCTCGTTTAGCAAATAATAATGCCATCATCATCTTTGGCGATGGTATTCATAACTTATTTGTCATGCGAAATCCACACATTTTCAAAATGAAACTAACTAACTAACATGCTAAGTGCTTAAATTGAAAGAGAATAGAAACATAGAATAATAGTCGATATTAAATATTGGCAAATAAATGCATCATAAAAACTAACGACTTTTAATTCGCAATTGATAATATAATGCACAGTGAGCATGAACACTCGATTCGTTTTGATTGCGTTCGTTTTTGTTCTTTCATTCACAAAAATAATACACGAGTTTTGATTCTATTCTGGCTACCTCTCCGCTATTTGTCGTTGAATTGCGGGAGCATATACTCTGCGAACTATTTGTCCAGAAATCACATTGTTCTCATACGTTGTTTTTTTTTATAAAAAGAGAAAAAGAAAACATTTACATTAATTTAACATTGGCATAAAAATTACACTTAGGTCGAGAAAAAAAATACTTATCGTTTACACAATTCAATACATAATATTAGAAATCTAAATATTGTTTCGTTTCTTAAATCACAATAGGTAAAATTTGCTTATCAAAAACACCATTACTGCGTGTGTACTATTTTGCCTGCTTGCAGCACTTACAACCATGTTTGTTCCTAGGATTTATTTGTTTGTTCTTTTTTTTTTTAAATAATTTTAATTTTTTTTGTTGCAATTGAGCATTAGAACATTGTTTTTGTTTGCTTAAATTCATATACAAAATCGAAAAAAAATAAGCTCATAGATTTGTTTTGTTGTTTGTTTGTTTTCTCTATAAAATGACGTTCACTCGAAGACAAAATGTTTTTTGTTTGTTTCATAATTCAGTAGATTGTTGGGATTTTGGGTTGAGTTAACTATTTGAATCTCCACTCGAATAGGATGCTTTTGAGTAATCCATCAGAGATCGTCCCGGTGTATCTAAATTATTGCTATTTTCGATGTTTGATTCTTTCACCTCTTTCTCGTCTTTTGTGATGTTCAACACATCGTTCATTCGATGATAATGTGGTTTAAATGAGCTGCCTGGCCTACTGGAATAGTCTAGATGATCGTATTCATCTGAAAGCAAGCAAAAAAAGAGAAGATTATTTCCAATTGAAGTGAACAAGATTTATTCAATTATTATTTTACCTGGATTATAGCCATCTTTCTGTTTGATTTCATCGTAAACATGATCTTCGAAGTTTTCATCAATGCTATGGTATACATTTGGATTGGTCATGTCTGCATTTAAATTTTTCTGAAGCATATCGGTGTTGTATTCAACTGAATAAGCACCAGCTGGAAAAAAAAATAACAAGACAAGGTGGTGAATCATCACATTTACAAAGAAACATTGATCTATTTCAAGAAACTCCTTGAAATCCCAATATCCAAGGGAATCAACTTAATTTGAGAGAAAAATAAATATGTGTACCTCGGCCATTTAGATTTGATGGTTTATGGCTAGCTCGAAGATTATTCAAAAGTGTTGAGCTGTCCGTGTTGCTAGATGTCGATGGTTGGAATGCATAAACCGGATTGTCGAAATGGTGTCGATCTGGTTGTGATGGTGGATCGGCGATATATTGAACGTGTGCAATTTCTGTTTTCAAATTTCGCACCCGTCGACGGAAATACAGTGATATGAAAATGATGACGCCTACCAATGACAATGCAACAATAATACCCCATGCGATACCAGCACTACTTTGACCTGTAAAAATGGGCAGAGTTCAATCAGTTTGGGTTCTAGAGATGGTCAATGGGACCATCGATATGATATCAATTACCATTATGAAGTTCTTGATATTGTCCTTTGGGCGTTAAGCAATCCGTTCCACTGAATCCAACACGACACACGCATCCATGAGCCGCGTGGCAAACAAACTGTGGCGATGCACACGAACAAAAATCCATACAGTGTTTTCCAAAGAAACCTTGAATAGAAAGAAAAAAGAAATCCGTCAAAAAAAAATCATCAAATGACCGGAGGCATTGTCATTGTCATACCTTCTGGACAAACATCTTCACAATGAGCACCCATCCAGCCATCGTTGCAAATGCAGTATCCATCGTTTTTGCGACATCTTGCAAAGTTTTTACATTTGCAAATTTGATTACAATTTTGACCGAAGTAACTGTGGGAAGAAAAAAAAAACAATTTGAAAATAATTGTACATTTTGTTCGTGACAAATGTAGTTGTTTGAATACTAACCCGTCGGGACAAGGCACATTGCATGACGTTCCCGTCCATCCTGGAGCACATTGACATTGACCAGTGATATGATGACATTCAGCGCCATTCTCGCACATGCACTTCAATGAACAACGGGGACCATATGTGGTATCGGCACAAGGATGCTCACACGTCAGTCCTATATAGCCCGGTTGACACACATATTCTCCGGTTATATGATCGCATGTTTTATTACCATAAACAACATCTGGACATCTTTCTTTGCAACCTGAATTGCGAGGAAAATAAACAGAATGCATTCGTTTAAAAAATCAGTCGAAAGGCTTTGAATGAAGTAGGATGCATGAATAATCAATAAAGTGGGAAAAAAAATCTCACCCAATCCATATGTGCCTGGACTGCAAGGCTCTGAACAATCTTCGCCTCGCCATCCTTTGTTGCAAATACATTTTCCCGTTTGAGCATCGCACGATGAATTATTATAACATCGACACACATTTTCACAATCATCTCCATAGAGCCCTGGTGGACATTTTGTTTCACACGTAACACCTGCAATCAGTTCAATTAAGTTTTCTTTTGTTCCCTTTTTCGAATGATCTTTTCCACTCAAAATCAACCAAAACCCCGTTCGCTAAAGGATTTATTTTCTACTATTAATCATATCAATACATTTTAGTTGAATGAAATTCAATACGGATGTGTTTATTGGTGTTTGTGTTTGTGTTTGTGATCGTGTGTGTGTGTTTATGTGCACGAGATAAGTAATACGAGTGAATTGTGTTTGTAAAACGCTAAAGGACACTGTGCACTGAGTGTTGAATTTCGAAGGCTTACCTTCCACATCAGTGTCGTTTCCTTCTTTAATTTGTCAGTATGTATTAAAGAGAGATTTTTTTTTGATTAGGCGTCAAAGGAAATTATGTTAGATATTGCATATTTATTTTGGTTAACACAATTTGTTTCTAAATCGATTGCTTGATTTGTACCAACCTGACCATGCATTTTTGCATACACATCGTCCATCAACGGCATCGCATGTTATCGAATTATTGAAATTGCAATCACATTTTTGGGAACAATTGAAGCCAAATGTACCAAAGCTGCACTTCTTTTCGCAAAATTCACCGGTCCATCCAGCACTGCATGTGCATTGGCCGGTTTGAGGATTGCAAGCGCCCGAATTCTGGCAATTACAATGCTCTTTACAGTCTTTTCCAAATGTTCCTTCATCACATGGCCGATCGCAATGATGACCTAATGTAGAAAAACAATATGACGAATTTTTGATTAGTGAAAAAAAAATTCAACAAAAATGAAATCAACGACGTGAAATCCCACCTTTCCATCCAACAGCACAGAAGCATTGACCGGTTTCTGGACTGCATTTGCCATTGGTACAGTTACATTTTTGTAAACAATCTCCATAGAAACCTTCATCACACTGTTTTTCACATGTTTTGCCTGATAAGAAGAGACATTTTTTTTTAATCAATACTAAATCTCAGACGTGTGCCAACAACCCACACGTTAGAAAACAAACCTTGGTAGCCAGCAGCACAAACACATTCGCCAGTTATCGTATTGCATTGAGCGCCGTTACAATCGCATTGTTGTGCACAATTTTCGCCCCAAGTTAGGAATGGACAAGGTCGATTACACAAATTGCTGCTCCAGCCGGCATTGCAATCGCACTTGCCCGTGTATGGATGGCAGCTTTTGGTTGTATTTCTGTCACATTCACAGGTGGATTCACAATTCTCGCCAAACATATGATCGGGACAAACACGATCCTCGCAATATGTGCCCTTCCAACCCTTTGTACACGAACAACTTCCATCTGATGGATTACATTTGGCACCGTTTTTACCTATTTGAAATATGAATAAACATTTTAATCATCACTTTCTGCTCATGCATCACACTAATGTAATCGAACGTACATTTGCATTCTTCGGTACAATTCAATCCGTATGTATGACTAGGGCAACTTTCAAAGCATTTTGGTCCGATGTATCCAGGCGCACACTCACATTCACCGCCGATATGGTGGCATCGGGCATTGTTGTAGCATTCGCATTGCTGTTCACAATTTTTGCCTGTTAAATATGAGAAAATTGGGCGGACGTTCAATGTCTATGGTGAAAATGACGAAGTCTTCTTAAAATAACTTACCAAAGAATCCAGCTGGGCAACGATTTGCACACACATCGCCGGTCCAACCGGGTGGACATTCACATTGACCGGTTTGTGGATTACATGAGCCTCCATTTTGACATTTGCACTTTGATTTACAATCTTCACCATGTGTTCCCTCTGGGCAACGATCGGCGCACAGTGGACCAGTAAACCCAGGAGCACAAGTGCATTCACCAGAAATGTGATGACACCTTGCACCATTACTACATCGACATGGTTCCGAGCAATTTAAGCCGTATCGATCGCTTGAACATTCCGATTCGCATCGATCGCCTCTGTAGCCTTTTGTACATTTGCACAACCCGTTAAATTGATCACAAACGCTGTCGTGTTCACAATTGCATTGGTGTGAGCAATTTCGTCCCCAATAACCTTCCGGGCATTCTGAAATTGGACAAAAATGAAGAAGGTTCGATTCGTTTCTTTTTTGTTTGAGATGAATTGAACACCGATCAAAAACTTACGTATATCACATGCCGGTCCGAAGAAACCCGAATTGCACTTGCATCGATCGGGTCCAATACAAACACCATGTTTGCATTCAGTACAAATCGGCTTACACGCATTTCCATCTTTATTTTCAGTATAGCCATCTATATTTGAGAGAATTAAACGTTTTTATAAGTAATTTCTCCCGGATTAATATGTGGGCTGGGTGATAAAAATGAGCGATAGAATAACAAAGCATAATCATCATAAGGTATCAATTACCGCAACATTCAAAGACGACCCGTTCCTTCTTCAGAGTTACTGTCTTGTTGACCGTTTTAAATTTGATTTTGTAGGCTGTACATCGTGGTGGAACGGCGAGACACCAATTGTTCACTTGCTCTTGATATGGTTGCTTTTCCGTTACTACAACCTCAACAGGAAACCTATCATACACACAACAACGATAAAATTACTTGGACTGGTGGATTCAATTTCATGGCACAGTCATAACTACATTACGCAATGTTTGTCATCACTTACTCTTCGATGCGTTTGCAAACATTCGGTCCACTTAATTCGACTTCTTTATGCTCTGTGATTAGTTGAGTGGAAACTTGTTGAAATAAAGTCAACAAAAATCCCAACAACACATACAAAATACTGGCTTTCACAATTATTCGCATTTTGATTGAAATACTTTGAAATTTGAATCGAAGAAAAAATATTAATCAAAAAAAAAAATCGAAACGCACGCACAATACACGGCAGTCAATAAATAATGGATAACTTGCAATTTGTTAACATTTAAAATGCACTTGACGCAGAATGTATGCACAGCAAACAAAAATTACCAATCTAGTGTTTGCTAATTTATGGTATCATTAAAAGCACTAAGTTTTTCCGATAATGTTGTTAATGCGATGCATTGATGTGCCACTTTACGAGCGAATAAAATGTTTTAAAAACAAAACGATTTAAAACAAATACAAAACAACAAAAAACTATAATAGTAACAACCGCGATAAAAAAAAAGAAATTGTTTGTTACGACTGCAAAAGCAAATTGGTCACTAAACTATAAACTTCTTTCGCCTTCTGTTTATTCGCGGTCGATTGTTCATGTTTTCATCAGTTCGGTGTAACAAGCTATCGAGTGAAATAAATTATTTTCCACTGACATTATTGATATATAAATATTCAATTTGGACGAATAATCCGTTCATTGCATTGCATCGCGCACAATTCTTGGTGGCCACACGATTGCATTTATGCCATAGTCCGTGCACGGTGCGCTTTTATCTGCAATAATAAAATTGAAACAATAATAAATTAATCTGTATCCAAACAATTTTAGCGTTGTAGATAAAAATCGGCTGTTCAATATAATTATTTTGTATTATTCATTGGAATGCTATGTCAATTGGTTCTATTCATTAATACTGTATCATCTGCAATGATTTTAATTTGAACGGATGGCTTTTGATTCTTTTTCTTCTTCTTTTTCGATTTAGATGAATCCAATTTTATTTTCAATTCTATTGACAGACCTTCTCCAGATGATTTTTGTTGTCGAAGCAACATCAAATGCTAAATGATTTGAACTTAAGTGCAGTGAGGATGCTGACGCACAAAAACTAGCTACACTTTGAACAAGAGGCACGGTTTTGAGTTTCTCTGCGGAAAGCTTATCAGCTTACTACAGAACTACAAAGATTCACTTATTATTAGAAGGAGATGCAAGCGGACAACAATAACAATGAGCATAGAGGAAAATCAGTGCACGATTGCCTCAAAATGAAATAAAAAGTGATTGCAAACTCCGTTTATGTTTGGATAAACATAACAATAATATGATGAGATAAAAAAAAGAGTATATAGAGTGAGCCCGACAAGCATAACAGTGATGAAAGAATGACTATCACAACAGAAATATGTTATAGTGTGATCCACGGTGCGACAACGCTTATGTGATGGCTGGTCTCTCTCTCTCTCTCTCTCTCTCATTTTGTGTGTATGTGTCTGTGCTCTTTAGCTCAAATCCATTCCGAAATGCGGGCAATTACACTTAATGACTCAAACGAATATATATATATTCCTTTTGAGTTCAGTAGCATCAACGCGACAAAATATCGTGCATTAAATTGCTCTTTGTTACGTACTAGCCACGAATGCGTTCAACATATTTAAAATAAACGATTTTGTTCCGTTTCGCATCTCCAAAATAAAAAAAAACACACATACACACACTAAATAAAAATGTCGTTGCCGTCCCCTCGCTTTTTATTGCTCTATAAAATCTGTTGACAAATTCCAAATCAAACTTCACACTCATTTGACTCGTTTATTACTATTAATTTCGACCGAGAGTGAGAGCGAGAGATGGGAGAAGACGAAGAGAATGCATTACACACGAAATTGGTTTATTTTTATAACCAAATTAATTTTGAATACACTTACTAATCTTTAATAGAAACCGTTGGCACCGAAAATGTGAGGTTAAGATCTGAAGCATACAGATTTATCATTGAATTCACCAGAGAATTATCAATGAAAGAAAAGAGATGCGGAATAGAAGAGATTTTTTTCAATATTGAGAAGCAATGGGAAGTCTTTGTTCAAGAGGATAAAAAAAATAAGATTTTTTAAACGCATCAAGCTGAAATCAGCTTATTCCAACCGTAATGAATTTGAGACTGAGTTCGAAATTCAGAGTTCAACATATCTTTCAACATGATCAGTAGTAGAACTGAATAGAAAGAATACCAGCCGAATGTTCTAAATTGATATTTTTCCGCTGTGAGAAGCATGTATTCATTGAAGAAAATGGGGAATTTTAACTCATTGAAAACTTAGCATTCATTAGGTATTCATATCGACTTTTTAACAATTCAACAAAGACTGTTCAATATTGAACGACGAATAGTAGACACAATTCAAAGTCGACATTTTTTCAACATATGTTCCGGTCATTGAGCAATACGTCAGAATAATATGTTATTACGACATTTTTTTTACAAAAACAAAATTCGTCGAGAAAAAGAAAAGGAAACTCTAATTGTTCATTTTTACGATAAAGAAGTCAGAATTTTTTTTTTTTTGTCAATTGAGGATGTAAATTAAACCGAAAGAAACATTTTTTGTTGATAGTAAAAAATTTGTGAATGGGTAAAATAGGAGAAATACGGCAGATTACGTATTTATCACCATATGGTTGTTGAATGAAAACAAGTAAATGTTTGTATTAGTAAGTGTGAGTCATGGCTGTGGCCAATGTGTTGGAGAGGAAGCCGATAACAAATGTGGCGTGTGCTCTTGATTTTCTGATAGTTTCTACGAATTGAAATAATTTGCAATTATTCATCATTGTTGAGACTCGCAAAAACAAATGTTCAAATCTACGGCACAAATGATACACATGCTAACGACGACGACAACACCAACGAAGAAAAGATAAGTAAGACGAAAGATGTTGGGTACATCACACAAAGAGAGAAAAAAGTGATTGGCTGGCGTCGGCGACGATAGAATATAATAAGAATTGTGGTGAAAATAAAACCAACACCATTTTTTGTTCACGCCAAAAATGCCAATTAGTAAGGATTAATACAATGCGTCTATGCGTGTGTGTGTGTGTGTGTGTGTGGGAGGAGGGCATCGGTAATCGAAAACCGCATCGGCATAAAAATAAACATTCGATGGCTCCAAAAAGAATGTTGTAAATTATAAATCTTCTTGTCTCGACATAGAAATGAAAAAAAAGCCTGATTAACACACATCTGCCAAAGGAAAGTCGATGTCACGTTCGTTTCTATGCAAATCATTGTTCAGACAACGAAATGTTTCCGTTTGAATGTGTCACTATTGTTATTTCTTATTTTTGTGTTGTGATTTGAAACAAATTTGTTACAGAGTAAAACACCGCTACACGGAAATTATACAAAAAGAATATCAACCCAATTGCGCTTTAAAGCGATACACTTGTTCGCCCATTTAAGCTTTGACGAGCAACACACTTGCTTTTATTGCATGTGTATGCAACGGTGACTCGGTCTCTTTATTTAAAATTAATGTCATTTGCAAAACAACACAAAACATAAATTTGTACTGCAATTTTCGTATTTTACATATACCAACGTGATCAAATCTAAGGGGAAAAAATAACTAGCGTATAAAATAAACGTAAAAGCTGAAAATTTACCAATTCAAATGGAAAATGTTGTAAGAAGCTGAAGAAATAAATGGCAAAAAAAACTAACCGAAACACACGTATTTACTTCGTGGTTGCCTAAAACTGTGGCAAAGATTTTTATCTACTCTCACTACGATGCGCATGGTTCGTAATGAGTGTGAAACTATTTTACAATTGTTAAGCCATTTTGCATGTGCACATCGTTCAAATGAATGGATTAGTATATGAAAATATCATATATGCTTGAAATTATCAACGTATATTGCTTGGAATGCATAAATTCGCTTGACTATCCACCGTCAAAAGCAACAACGAAATTGGAATTACTCGATATTTACCTATAAACAACCATTTATCAACAAGACAACAATTCTCTGGAATCACATAAACGACACAAATACCAATGAACGCGTACGTTGACCAAAGCACATAAAGAAAAAACGGTATAAATATAATCACAGTGCTAAGTATGTCCTAGTTTAGATAAACGACCTAAATGCATCGATATCGGTGACAACATGCCGATCGATACATTATGCGACTCATCTGACTCGGCACATATAAGGGGTGTTTCGAATGATTGGAATTGAAAGTGTTATCCTGAAGTAAATCAAATTCATTTATTTCTGTGCTTTTTTTCGCTTTCATTTTTATTAAAGAAAAAGACGTATACCTTATCTTAACAGAAACTTGCTATTGAAAACAATTTTAGTGATATATACATAAATAAATGATGAAATGCATTGCGATACCCATCATTTCAGCAGAAATTCATTATTTCTTTGTTCTTTGTTGTCTATAGCAAATACTGTTATCAGATTATGTGCGATAAGTTTTTCATTAGATTGTACAAATAATTTTAGTGTTTGAGTCAAAATTTTAGGGTATTTCCTGAAAATCAGTGGAATTTTTTGTTTGTTTAAATTTCATATATTTTTCACCAATTTGTCTATTTCAGCAACAATTGTTGTGTGTCTGAATTGGATATGCATTCTTATTTTAATAAAAATTTGCAGCACGTGCACTTGTCGTGCAAAGAGTCGATGAATAGACTGAAATGAATCAGCTGATGATACTAATTGAATGGGTTGCGTTATCACAATGAATATTCATTGCATATTGTTAAATATGTTTTCATTGAAGCAAGTATTTTCCAAAGCCAATACACGGAGAATCGGCAGTTAGTTAGACACAGAGAGCATCACGAACAAAGGCAAAGTAAAGTAAAGTTAAAAAAAACCATTTATTAAATTGGTGAGGTGGTAATTTCAATTCATGTAAACACACAATCATCGTGGCACACAGCACAGTCGACTGCTTTGCTATCATTCTTGGAAATGAGTTGAAACATTTGATTTCAGTGTCATTTTCTTTGTTTGCCGATGCAATCGGAATGGTTCGTATTCAAGTCAGGTGAATGAAATAGACACAGGATATTTAACAAAAAACAAAAACATAAAAAAAGAGAGAAAAATAATGATAATAATTTGAGTATGTCGATGGAAGGGGTGGAGAATTTACTGGCTCAAGGTCGTTTTAGTGTGACTGGTCAGAATCTATTTGTTTTTTCAAACATAGTTGTCCACATCGGTTACGCACATACACATTGTACCTTTTCCCTTTAGCTATGTATATTATGTTTTTTGGTTTCATTTTCTGTGAACTTGGTTTATCGGATGCTTTATCATTTGAATGGGTGGAGAGTGCAGAAAAACGAAGAGCAAAAGGTGGGGAGAAAGAGAGCGAGCGAACAGAATTGATGACAGAGCAACATTGATTTTGATGCGTATAAAGAGACGTTGGAACAACGGCCGCTGGATTAAATTGTTGATCTCTTTTAATGCTATCATTTTTTTTCCGCGCTGTATTTTCAACAAACTCTTTCGAATGATTCACTCGTCATTATACGTCGTATAAAGCGATATAATGATTTGAACGGCTGAACGGCTGAACGGCTGAACGGCGGTCATACTTCCTACAGTGCTTATTCACATTATTTGCGCTGCATTCATCTGTGAATTTTTCTTCCTGTTTGTTCAACTGAAGAGAGAGAGAGAGAAAAAGAAGAAAAAAAAGTGCGCTACAATAAGAACGATGACAACACATCAGTATCACACACGCAAACACCCCATATAAAGCAGTGAAAATTTTGCGCTATTGTGTGTGACATGGCATGTTAAGCCGTTCGCCATAGCATTAAACTTTGTTCTAGCTAAGCCTTGGCTAAATAACAACACCAACACCACTGAAACGAAATCATTTAACGCGATATTGTGTGTACTCATTTCACCGCTCTCGTTCGCTGCGGCGTGCGCGCGATCGTGCGATCGCGCACATCAACACTTAAATCAGATTCTTTGTTCTAATTGAGGCGAATTTATCTAAAGAGCGGAATATTTCAATGAATTTGCTTGAACTTTATGTATGCATATATTATAGTTTAGATAAAAACGCAACAAAGCATAAACAAATTGAAATGTTTCGCTTATTCGTTAGTTTCATTCAATGTGAAATTTTACATTATATTTACTACTCTCTGTGTTGGTAATTACTTTGCTGTCGAAATATGATTGCTCCAAATGGTATGATCGTATGAATGTGCCGCAATTTATTTTTGAACAAAACAAAGAAGAAGAAGAAAGAAACAGTTACAAACAGCAAAATCGAAACGGTTCATATCTCTGTTTATTTTCAGTTTGTCATCGTTTTCGGGCTTGTTTTGAACGCTTCGATTGGCGAAATATCACACGTAGCGATTTGATTACATTCAGCAAATACATACGACGCATAAAGCGTGATAAACATTTGTGTATTTCATTATGCATCCTGTTCCAATCATTTGGATCGTCAAATGCTGATAACAGCGAAAAAGTATCAATTTATGGAATGGATTGTCCACACACGCAGTGTGCCCAGTATACGGTTTGGTTTTTCTGCTGGAAAACATATTTCATGTAAATAAAAAAATTATCGCAAAATAAACAGAAAACTTCATAAATATTCACTGATATTGGTCGCTGCATGGTTGTCGTCGCTGCGGGCTTTTTTTTGGGGGGGGAAACGCAAACTAATTATATTCAATCGCATTCTATCGACGAAGGAATGAAAATGCAAACACAATTATTACGTATGTGAGTGTGTGTATTTATATGAGCGAGAGAGAAGCCCAAGTAAAAGTCATTATTGAAAATGGTTTCTTTGTCGTCGCTCCGGCTTTTCGAACCTCGTTTATTTATCACCCATGCAGCTATTATTGGTTAAATCAATGTTCATCCGTTGGGTGCAACGATCAAGGAGTCGGCCATTTAATAACAAATGTTGATCAGCAGCAGACGACGACGATGAAGATGACGATGACGATGACGGCCAATAACATTTCCATACACCGAGAATGACCGAGCGAGCAAACGACTTTCAGTGTTTGCTGCTGCTGATGGCGTGAAATTCGAATTAACAACAATACAACAACAACGAAAATGGAAGAATGTGGAAGAGGCCCATATATATATATATATATACGAGCAACAAAGTCGATTGAAGAATAAACAATTGAGCAAACAAAATTGATATAAGCAGCAATAGCATATGGGTAAATATATAAAAAAAAATTATTTTGTGGTAAACAGAAGCAAAACAAGTAGATTTTTGCGATTTTTTTTTACTCTGAAAATTACACGCAAACCATTCGCACTGTATCACACTGTGTGTGAGTTTCAACGCAACCAGTATATTTGTCCATCTTTCAATCTTTTTATCGATAATTCTGCGCGCTGAAGTTGTTGTTGTTTTTGCTTATTTTTTTCCCTTCTTTTGATTATTTCCATACATAATTTTTTTTTCGAAATCGTGCTTTCACTGTACAATCTTGTGCTGCTGTTACTGCTGCTGCTGCACACCTCATTCAAATTCTTTCATAATTTTTAGCACACACGGTTTCGCTATAGCGAATGAATTAACCTCTTTTTGATTTGACAAAAGAAGAGAAAAAAAACATCAACTTTCATTCAACAGCTTCTATCTTATCTTGAAACTGACTCATATCGGAAATCACCGGATTTGATTTGTAGCATGCAATATATTTAACAGCGTTGTAATCCGAAAATCGTTATCAATTTCTTTTTTGGCAATTTATAATCATCGCAGCCAATAGCAAAAAGAAAATGTTAGCCATTTGCGCACACTCGCTCGAGTAAACAATCAATTATTGAACCAATTGTTGTTTCAATTTGCGTCAAAGAAGAATTAAACGAACAAAAGAACACACTCCGATCTTAATGTTTTATTTCTGGAGTCTATCGTTGTCTCTGAAACACAAGAAATAATTATGATAATGCTGGCAGCAACAGCACCAATCAACCATATGAAGAAAATATTTCCAAATGTTCGTTTTTATGCGCATTAAAACCGTAATCGGCCAAAATATTCTCTATACAGTTTAAGTCACCGCAATAGGTTTGTTTGTATCATCACTGTGTGGCAACACACCATTGAAGTGACCACTTGAGATTTCTCTTTCCGAATGAATCGTGAGCTATTATTAACAAAAATAAAACCAATATGTTTGACTTTTCGGCTTACCAATCGAACTGAAAATTCCAAAATTTCAAATGACACAGTGAACTAGCATTGATCTCATTCAATAAAATGATCTCATTTAAATTATTGTCGATATTTCACAAAATTGCTGGCAATTTGCATCAATCAATTTAATAATTTTTTTGATTCTTTGCTACCGCGATCACTTTTGTAAAACAAACACACACGCACACCAATCACACACTCTTTGTTATTCGGTAGAAATTGATTTGGATAGTTTGAACACCGTAACAGCAAACAACACCAGAAAGAAAGAAAAAAGTCACAAGAATATATTGGCTATAAGTTTTCTTCACTTTGCACAATCATAACTTTGCAGCGATTTCAAAATTGTATTGATTCAATTTTTTTTTTGTCTTTTGGTATTTTCTCTCTGAGATCGAGTGGTTTGTGCGTTGCAATTTTTGTTATGAATTCGTCAACGTTGTTATTTTTGGATTATTTTTTGCCTGAAAACAGCCGAAGAGCAAGGGGAAAAAAACACAACAAAACGTATTGAATATGGTTACATTTTCATTCTACCTTTACCGAATGTAATCTTGTTTATAGAGAGAATACTCTCCGTTGAAATTCGTGAATGTGTATAAGTTGGTTATGTTTTAAGCTGTGAAGGCGTAACACACGTATTTCAACAGATAACTTAAAAACAACTGGTTGGATGTGGAATAAAAATTATAAATAAATGAAATGAAACATACATCGGCAGTCGTTCGTTCGTTCGCTCTCTCGCTCCCGCTCACTCACTCACTCACTCACATGTTTCGATCGCATGGATGCGACGAACAGCATTACGTGTGTATATGCAGTGTATGTGTGCCATACTAAGTAGTGGCTACGCTCAACAACATTCAATAACAACAAAGACAGACTCGGTGTGTTGTGGCATGAATAGACAGGCACGCACACTAATTCTCTACAGAAAAATCGTCGTCGTTCAATAATTACTTAAAAACAACAACAACAACAACAACAGCAGCAACAGCGTTCATGTTCAGCTACATAGCCAACGTCATATATGTTAGCGCTGGTTCTCTTTTTGTCTGTTTTGTTGCGCTCTTCTTCTGTACGAGTGTCTAAGAATATTTGTACCGTGATTATGTGAAACAGAAGAGACAAAGCTCGAGAGAAAGAAAAGGAGAAAGAGAAAGAGATGGTACCAATACGACTGTATATAATACGTCATTTGGATATATTCGATGCTTTGTGTCGGCCCGTATTCATGCTCATTCTAGTTGCTTCTGGTGGTGGTTTTGGAATCACACACCACTACTATCATCGCCCCGTATGAATGTCAACCGAAATGTGAGATTCCGACCTGAAAATCACTTACACTCGCAATGTGTGTGCAACACGATTATTGCACTCAGTCCATTATGTGTACATACGAATGCATTTCATTTAGTCTAATGCTGGTTAACTACCTTCGACTTTGATGCCGATTAGAATTTGTACGTACTTCTCTGTGTTTGTACGTGCTCAAGTATGTTCTACGTTCGCCTGAACTCTGAATATTGCACTATGAATGCCAATTAAAACCAGAGCCACCATTGTGTGCCATTGTCTATCGTTTTCGAAGGTAAATCACTCATCATTTCAAAGAGACACTGAAAAGATTTGCTAAATAATAGTTTTAAAACAATAGTTTCTCTTACTTTGAATAGATGTCACTGATTTTTTCTGAGTTTCCTATAAATACTGTTTTTTAATTGCGAAAAATGAACAGTGACTTTTCACTTACCTTGAATTCGTCAAAATTTACTTACCTCAAATGTTCGTTGATCTTTCTACGCTTCATTAAAAAAATAATATCATTATTCAGGAGGAGTGTCAAAAAGATGGTAAAAATCTCACCGTGAAATTGATTTGAAAATTTCAATTTCAACTCGAAAGCAAAAAAAAAATCGACTTTGAAAATCGAAAACAATTTTTTATTTGCATATATGTCTGGTATGAAAACGATTTAGAATATATAAATTATTATCATTAGATTCGTATTTTATGTGTGTCGCCAACACACAAGAGACGCCTTATCGATTCAATGACACGGTAAATAATTGATGAACGTTTGATGTGAGAAAACCCATTGATGCGAATAAACGTTGAAAGTTGTTGTCTTCCCGACAATTTACGCTATACGTTTCTTATTAAAAATGAAATCGGTTGCAACTAAATGTTGTTGGAAAAGTCGCCACTTGTAGCGGTGTATGATGTCATTTTGTGTGTTGGAACAGAAAATTGTCACAAAAATAGTTGAAATTGAACGTGAACTTGAACCAAGCCATATAGATCATTGTTTATAAACAATATCCTTTTAAAGTCGATTTCTTTAGCAGACATTCGCTATATCTGATTTGATGAAAATGGTATGAAACTTTAAATGGGAAATTGTCGCATGTGTTTTAGCCGATCGGTTCGAACACAACCGAAACGTGTTGAATCGAAAACATGTCAATTGAAAATACCATATCTATGATGGTAGACCAATTAATACTACAGTTCATTGCAATGGTAATGTTCTCATACAAATTTTATTGTTTTATTCATCTTCACTTGATTATAGTCCTGGTAATTACAATAAAACAATGGAACATAAACAAAAACTAATTTATCATATGAATCGAAGGCATGGAACATATTGCATATCATTCGCTTAAAATACTAGAAAATCAACGCCTCTTTCAAGCAGCAACAATTATTCTGATCTAAATTTTCACTTTATGTCTAAATTTTTGCTAAAACTTTATTGTTTCATGAATCCATTTGAGCAACAAAAAAGAAACGCTTCAATGAAATTCAATGAAGTGGAGAGAGAAAAAAGCGCACGCGAAACATCGTCATAAGCGACAATATTACGTGTTCGAATTGCTATGGAAAGAAAATTATATGAAAATGTTCATGAAAAATGCAAGGTATATATTGATTGGGTGTTGTACGGACTAATTTGAAAAAGAAATTTTTTTTGTTTCGTTGTGTCCATTAGTTTAAACATGTCGATAGCATGCATCCAGGTTTTACATTGAAATGAATTACATATTAACCAGTTGCCATTTAATTGTTGGGTGGAGGAAGAACGGTATTCATACCACTGAATCGCCGCTTATCGATTCGTAGAATTTTTTTCGAGCTCCGACTTCATGTGTTCAAAATGAATTCAAAAAAAGCGTCTAACGATTCTTTGCGGCGATTTCGTTATTGCAGAGAGATACAGCGCAGCAGGTAAATGAAAAATCTTTTTTTTATTTAATAAATTTTCAACATGCAATGAATAAAGAGCATCACTTAAGTTTATCCTATTAAATTTGGAATGTTGTATTAAAATAATCTCTTTTCGATCCACCACGCACACTGTTTGAAAAAAAAAACAGGACGTGAGCAGAGAAAATCGATAGAAGGTGACACTCTACAGCTGTATCGTCATCATTCCAATGTCTAAATACAAGTTTTGAATTAGAATATACGTGTTTTTCTTTCTTTTCTTTTCATTTCCATTTATGATGTGAGATTTTTGGAAATTCTTCTTCCATCGATTTCGAAACACACTCGAAAGATATTAAAAATGTTTTCAACTGATTAAAACTCTTGATACTTTTGATCTAACTATTTTTTCTTAAAGAATTATTGTTCACTTATCTCTGAAAAAAACTTTTCACTTGATTATTATTGATTTATTTGGTTAATTTTTCTTTCGTCATTGCTGCAAATTGAACGTATTTTGTTTCATCACAATTTTGCACCGTCGATTTTGTCGTATTTCCAAATGTTTTATCGTAACGGTTTTATATCACCAAATACACTCGATCGATTCTCGATGCTATTTTTCAATTAGAATGGAGAACGAGTTTGCAGATAGAGAGAAAAACACATCGTTGGACACTGAAACCGTACCAAAAATGGTAGCGGTAGTTTTGATTAGCGTGCATTATTTGGAAGATCGTATATACACTGAATTTTCCACAACTGATGATACGTGTGGTATTTTGCTTGCTTCTTCTTCTCGGTTGTCACGCGTTACATCACCAAAGCGATATAGGGATAGAAAGGCAGATTTCGCGCGATACGAGCAAGAAGAAATTGAAAGAAATTACTATTTGTAACAAGAAAAAAAAAAATACTATGAATCCAATTGATTGTTGGCTTTAATGACAAATGAATGTTTTTTTACAGCACTTTACGTATTATTAGCGATTATGTTCACCAATTCTTGTTTCGTTTCTTTACATATTTCAGGATACGATTGAGATCTTCGCCCGGCCGCACTACGTCGACATAATCGCCGAGTTCATCGCTGGAAAATAGAAGAAATTTGGTTAGAAATTACCTCAACCCAAGCAAACACCTAGGGGAATATCACGCAAAAAATTCTATTGAATTTCTATTGATTTCTAAAAATTAATTTCAATTATATTAAATTATGCGAGATATCTGAGATTTTTTTCATTTTGGTCGATTTTTGCAGATATTTTAATGCTGAAAGTGGGTTTTGGCGGATCCTCAGGATCGTTCAGAACTGCTCCCGATTCTGGAAGTGGGTTTTGGAGGATCTTCAGGATGGACCAGACTTGGTTTGACAATGCCCTGGCCCATCCTGAGGATCCACTTCCAGAACCGGGAGCAGTACTAAACGATCCTGAGGATCCACCAAAACCCACTTCCAGAATTTTTGAAGCGGTAATGACGTCAGCACATGGTGAATATGAGTGAATAATACAGATTTTGCGAAATATTTGAAATAGCTTAGATTTCATTAGATTTTAATGAAATAAATGAGATAGAAATAAGTTTTGCGAATAAAAATTGCGTGATATTCCCCTAGGCAAACACGGCTCAATATCAATTGCGGCATTGAGCTTTATTTCAATTGGACAATATTTACAAAAATCTGTTTTCGTATGACAAACTTTTTGCATTTAGTTTTTGATATTGTTTTAGTGAAGGTGCTTCGTTTAAAGATCGTGGTACCTCAGTTCAAGGCTATTGCCTGCTGCCGATACAGCCGATGACGACGACGATGAGGACGATGAAGCTGCCGTTGTCGAACCGGGAATTGTGCCCGGAATGTATCCTCCATGGCCGCCGTATGGCTTTGAAAATTTGTACTTAAGCAGTAGAGATCCCAATAGCAAGCTGTTCAACAATGATATTGCCTTAAGACCCAACAGGATTTTGAATGGCAACACAAATACTTTGAATAAAATCACAGGCAAAGCAAGGGCGGCCAACAAAACGAATCCGTATTTGATTAAGAGTGCTACGGTTAATCCGGTATTGTGATCACTGACGGTGATCTTTGTTTGGGAATGATCACCACGACGCGTACAAACTAAATCACTGGTTAACGGAGCATTTACAATGGACCATCTATCATTTTCAAAAGAGAAAAATAAAGAAACAATGCCAAAATGAAAATGTTGTTTAATTTTTCCGGCCCCATAAATTCACATTGAAACACACAGATACACGATATTCCAAAAGCCGAATGAAACTTACTCATTCTGTGATTCGCTGGGTATTTGATCGTAATATTCCAGTTTTTCATTTGTGTTTGTATTGCGCTTATTGCGTGAGTCAGACAGAACTTCGTCTTGGTTGAGTTTATTTTGCATATCTTGTTGCACATTATTTTTCATTGCATCATAAACTGATGTAAGCACCAATTCCTTATTCTTATAATCCTTGAAAACATGCGCACCAACGATGATACTCGACGAAATAAACGCGGCTATCACAATTTTTAGTATCTCTTTCCCCATTTTGAATTTAGAAAAAACCAAACTATCACTGAACTTTATTCGCTCTAAAAGCGATCAATATCCAGGCAATAAAATGCTGTTGCGTATTAGTTAGCAACGTACAAATGGACGGCCACTATTTGAATCAATAGTGCGTAGTCGTTGAAATGATCCGAAGAAAAATGATTGAGAACGCTTCTTGAATTTCACACATCGAATCTGGTTGACGATCAATGAACAAATAGTTCCAGTTGATGGTTCAATCCGCTTATATAGTTGGAATTTTCCGGTGTCGACAATGCGTCGTTAGGCACAGTGTCCATCATTGTCACTATTACAAGAATATTTCATCTCATGAAAACGATCTATTTTCTTTTTCGGCGGTTGTGGTGCGTACGCTGTCATTTCTTTTGTTACCATTCCGAACAATATTTAGGCTCTCGCTTCTTTCAGCATCCATCGTTCACACCACAACTCACCTCGTTTTGTTCCATCTTTATTCTGTTCTGTTTTCAACGGTGTTTTATTGCTAAACACTCAATTGCGCCAACATTGTGTTAATTAAAATCAATTCCGATGCAATGTAGAACGTATCGAACTTATCATTGTTTATATTATTGAATAATACAAACCTTGTTTTTTCTTCTTCTTCTTCTTCTTCTTCTTCTTCTTCTTCTTTTTCATTTCCATCTCGGGAAATCAGAATACAAAAACTATGTTCCAATAACACACAAATTTCTCAAAACGGGATAGTTAAAACATTTCGTGAACCAATGTAAATTGAACTGATGTAATGTCGTTTCTAGAACAGTTATCATTTTTATAAATATCGCCTCATTTTCATAATATTATCGGAATAATGGAACATTGCATAAAAACTAATTTTCAAGTATGCTGGAGAGCCTAAATCTATTATTTTATTCAACGACGTACATCGTTTGATCGAATTTCAATTGAAAACATGACTATTTTCTTCAGTAAGATATCAAGTAAAAGTGCTCGCATTAGTTTCATTTCGACGAGCCGCATCTTTTTTTTCCTTTCAAATAAACATTTTTTTCGGCTGATCCATGCTGTTTATGTTGCGTACTTTTGGTATAACCATCGCTGGTTTATTCACTTTTTTTACGATTTGACGCATATTTATTTAATAACACATACGAAGTTTTATTAGTTATGGCCAATGATCCATGTATTTTCATCTCGTACAACGCTGTTCCCCAATGTGTAGTTCAATGAATTCCAGTCCAGCGTTTACACTTTTTCTTTCTCATCAAAAAAAAAAATCTCGTGATGTGAATATTTTCACTGGAATTAGCCGAAAAATCTGACCACCAAATAAATGTACACATCCAATGGATGAAGAAAAAAACATGAACGAAAGTTCAATGAATAAATATTACGATATTGGAGGCATGTTTTTTTTCTCTATCTAAATAGTCGTTCGAAGAGGCAGTTCAGAAATCGGCGCTGAAGTTTTCTCTATAACAAAAATAGGCTTCGTATTTTTCGGCTGTATCAATAAGAAATGGGTTTCATGTATTTTTTTTTTACTAAAGACGTAGGCTCGAATTCCCAGAAACGCCGAGCAGATTCCTTTTGAACTAATTACTATTGAAATTTTAAGACGCTTAACAACGGCTTTATCGTTGACTCATCGCCGGTTGCTATGTGACGATCACCAGTTGGTTAAAACAGCAATTGCATTTCGAATTAGAAACGAAATAAAGACATTACTAATTAATTTAGAGAACTTCATTTCGACGAGAAAAATGAAAAAATTCATTTGTTTATTTGATCACAACATTTTTACGAATTGGCAAAAGATGAGTGAAAAAAACTCATATCAACTCAGAGTACACAGTGTTTTTACAACTTTGAGACAAACGAGCTAGAATTTCTTTTGCCTCGCGTCAGTTATTTCGCTCTTATTATTTTTATATACTAATTTTCAATGTCTTCGACACTAAATTAAAAACACAAGCACAAAAGAAACAGCAAAGTGTTATTTACTGTGGAAAAAAAGAGCGTGAAAAATTTGATAATCTTTTTAAATTATTTTTTACAATTATTTCATAGCCTGTCGATTATGTAATTTTCACAAACTTTATCGATGAATCATGATTGAAGATTATGTAATGCAGAAAATGCAGAAGAAAAACCATCGACTCATCTATTTGGTGATGATGCTAATCGTTGTCAATGAGATGAAAAAAAAATTAACGATGAAATTGGGCGATTCGTTTCTCGTTTTATAGATCCAAAAGAATGGAATTAAATTAGAATAAAATGAGATGATGGAAGAGGCTCTTTATTCTCCCAAATTACATTCCATACGCACCAAAGAAAATGAGATCAAAGTGCGTTACTATGTGCTGATCTATTTTCTTCTTCTTCATCTAACGGATCAAAAACGATCTATTAACCGATTTCAAAGTTTGTAGTGTTTTGTTGGTTTTTCCTTTTCTCAATCTCAATATGAACGAAAATCGAACGAACCAACAAATTGAAAATGTTCCACTAATTCCAATTTATCCACTTCTATGCATACACGGCCTACGTTGTTTGTATAGTGCGTCGGAAAAATGCGATTGCTTTTGTTGTTATTGGGCGCACGAGTCCATGCATTGAATCGAGTAGTGCTTAAAGCAATTAGCCCACAAAAAAATGCGAACAATGTGAATTACATTATGAAATCGAGATTTTAGACAGAAAATGCGGTGTTCAAATAAGGCCGCAACAATGACAACAGCAATGCAATTATTGTTTTGAAAAGAAAAAAAACGTTCATTCCGTGACGAGTAAAATGTTGCTTCAATTTTCCTTTTACCTCTTCTAGCCTCCTTTTACCACTACCGAGAACGTTCTAGCCTCACTTACACAATCTTAGAATCAGATAAAATAAAGTCTTAAAACAAGATAAAAAAAAATTCATCAAATTATTTCGTGTTTTTTTTCCTCTCTCGTACGTACAATATTTATTCTGACAGGATTCGTTCAATGAAACACAAATTTTTCATGGTTCATACAATCAATATGTTTGTAAATGATGCTAAACTACCATTTTAATGATAATTTCAATTTTCGTTTTAATAGACAGTTTTATGTTGATAATTGAAGTGAATCGAGTAAATTTTAATAGCGGTTGAACATTCGTGCACCACCACCACCACCGCCGCCTCCGCCACCACTATTATTAGCCCCTGAGCGATTGCCGAAATTGTTAAATCCACCATCGTTCATGCTTTTTTGTGGTCGTCTGGAGAAATCGTCGCCGAAATCGCGGTTATTTCCAAAATTGTTCGAATTGTTAATGTTGCGATCGTTGTTCAAAAAATTCGAACCGCCCATGTTAAAGCCACGATCGGATGGTCGATCAAAACCGCCACCCATATCGGATTCCATGAAGTTTCGTTTACGCATAAACATATCGCCTCCATCGCCGCGTGGCATTGAATCTTGCATTTGGTTAAGCGGATTCATATTCATGGGGCCGTTGTTGTTCAGTCGATTATTCGAAGGCGAGCGATTCATAATCTTTTTTCGTTTCAGCGGCATGCCACCTTGATCGTTAAGATTGCCAGGCGGCAAACGTTTGTTAAGCAGTTTGTTCAGTATGGGCTTGTCGCCCAATTGTGGTTTCTCAACGCTATTCCCTGGCGTTGGTTTCGTTTCTTTAGCCTCCGTTTCGGCGATTGGTTTTTTAGCTGCTGGTGGATTTTCAGTTTCGTCTTCGCTTAGTAATAGCTCTTCATCCAGAATTGATGCGGCTGGTCGTCGTTTTTGTACCATTTTACCAGCCTCATTCAAATTGAATTCGCCCAACAGAGTTTTGGCTGTTTTTGAATGTTGCTGTAGAACTTGTTCACCCGGTGTACGCTCAACCGGTACCTTATCTATTTGTTGATCTGTGAGGAATAAATACAAATTTATTAGATTGAGCATTAGAATGGGGTAGGGTGGGTCTTGTGGTAACAAGCGCTATTCTTTTTTCTTTTTGTTTTCGAAACGCCAAATTAAAACCAATTACAGAATAATGCAATCGCCATTATGTGTGCAGTCGGCTTTTGTTTCCCATACATAATGAAATTGCAAGTCATTATGGAAATCATCAATCGATCTCTTTGTGTGCACAACGAGTAATGGAATGGTTCTATTATTCGTCGTTCGCATCAACTGAAAATAAGATCGAAATGAAGCTTATTTCGAAAGTATTTGTTGGCCAATGTTTTCTTCTCTTTTTGTCGTTGTTCCTATCCTGTCCATCGAATTATCGCATTTGCATTGAATGAGCTAACCCATGATGCATGTGGCCATTGCTCGAAACAAGAACGCGGATGAATTGGGAATTAAACCAAAAAAAATCTAGACGAATACTATTTTGTGTGTGTGTGTGTGTGTGTGATTTTGAAAACACTTACCGGCCGAAACATAGAGTGGAATAACAACAGATACGTTTGCTTGTGGCCGTAGGAATAGCTTGTGAACGTTTTTGTAGCCTCCTGGATGAATGTCACCAAATTGCCGAAGCAAATCGATGATATTTTCGGCAATTTGATCGTTTGGCATGCTGTGTTTGCCGACCTGAATGTTCTGTGTGATGCCTTGATTGACATGCTTGTAGAACACTTTGCGCATTGCTTTATCAATTTCATCCGATAAATTCTCTTTGGACAGATTCACCGGAATCGCAAGGCGTCCCTTTTTTAACATTTTCGAGCCAAGAAAACCGTTGACGTGGGCCGCAATTGGTGAATCAACCAAAAACTTATCATACAAATATGATAGTTTGCGCCTCAGCTCGAATGTTGCATATTCATTGTACAGTTGATTGACTGGTATGACCGTGATGCGATACTTTGTCACATTTTTCTCACGCAATAAGTTTTCATAATGTTGGATAGTTGGCTCGAAGTCAAGACGACGACCACGCTTCAAGTCCTTAACAAACAATGCAACTTCCGAATCTTCGTTGTGCAATGTATGTTTGAGCAATCTATTTGAATGTGAATTGATTCGAAGAAGAAGAAGAAGAAGAAAAATAATAATCAACATCGAATGGTATGTATAAAAAAATAGGCATATTTAAATGAATAAATTGGCAAATTGGATAAAATGGAATCACTTCATTCTTATCGAATTTGTGCATCGATCCGTTCAAAAGTCACGTTGAATGGGATCGTGTGCCGATAGCTGTACCAGCATTAGACATTTGATTGTATCAACACAAGTAAGGTTATGATAAAGCATTTGCCATGTGCGGCAAAGTTCAAAGGCCTTATGTGCTTTTTCACCTGCTTTTTTTTTGTTGCTAACTAATTTAGATAAATAACAAATTTAACGCTCAACACACTACTTACATTCTGGAAAGATGAACTGGAACGTGAGGTACTTTGTGGCTGGCGATCATGAGCGAGTATGTGTAGTCGCTTTCCAGCAAACGTTTGCTCTCTTCAACTTCTTTTTCAGTGGCCAATTTCAATGCAGCAACGAGCGTTTCAATTTTCTCCTTTGTAAACATTGTGTCGAATAATTCACCGGGAAATTGTGGTTTCTCTTGGTAAACACGCAACATCCACCGGTTGCTGTATAATTTCGGGCCGGATTGTTGTTGATTAGCTGGATCCTTTGCTTTGCGCTTACGATTCGCAACCGCATTTCCACTATTATCGCCCATTTTCATAAACAAACCAATTCAAAAAAAATGTTTACCACAGATTTTTAGACAGCTTTCAAATGGGTTCCGATCAAAGGTGATGGTCCGTTTGTTGTTTTATTTTTCCTCTCGCTTAATTTCCTCCAGTTGTTTCTATCGATTTTATAGCAAGTCAAAGTACGGTCAAATGCTGTCGCACATTGTTTGCTCGTCAATGGCGACCATATATAGCTTCAGATCCGACAGTTTCAATTGGGGAGGCGCTTTCTCTTTTCCACGCACTTTGACAGCTCACACAAACAACCAAATCAACATATGCAAACGAAAACGATTGAAAAATGATGAAAATTGTTGGAATATAATTGAAATTTAATTTAAAAATATCGTCGAATTTTTGCCAATGATTATCATTTAGTTTTAATTTTAAAACGTTTTTCTTTTGTTTGGCTTTTAGTTGTAACATTTGAAAATATTGTAGTATACGTTTAAATCCTCCCCGATTTAGCGTATGGAAACAACGTCGTACCAATTTAGCTGTCAGAAATCATGTGTTCTGCCGTCTTTTCATGCAATCTGTACGACCGACCAAAGATATTAATGTTTTCGTTAAATTCCATTGCATCACGGTTTAATTTATGCCAACAAAGCAATTCCCTGCATAAACCAAACACCAAGTGTCCGAGTAAAATTATTTTCAGATTTTCGCAAACATTTCTATTGATTGGAAAAAGCAAAAAAAAAATCGCCTCTCAATTGAAGATTCCAATCTGGTGGTTCGTTTGCAGTTTGGTTACGAGCACCTGTCGCTGTCATCATCGTTTCTCTCTCTCTCTACCACTAGGGCATATACGATTTCAATGATTTTTCCATTTAGTTTTGACAGATAAAAGACGCCATGTATTCAATGTTGTGCGCGCAAGCAAAAGCAAAAACATACACCATGTCGAAGCTACACAGTACACAGTGCACACATACACAATAATCAGCACATCTGCTGCTATACGTGACGCATCCATGAAGTATATCATACTAAGAAAGAACAAAACCAACGAAAAAAAAATAACGTCAATTGCTTCAGCTTGAGTTTGTCAGTGAATATTGAGTAACCATTTCTCTCGTTTCGACTTTTCAAGTGCGTGGAAAATAGAATCATTTTTTTTTGTTCTTCTCAAGAAGCAAGGCAAAAATAAAATTCATAGTCGCCGAAGAAAATAGAGAGAAAAAAGTTGATAGCACGTTTGGTTTTTGCATTGTTTTTTTTTCATTTCAGTTTCAACCAAGCGTTAGTTCGTTCTAATAAAAAAAATTTTGAGTTTTAAATGAAAGTGAATTGAATTCAATTGTGAACGAACAAAATTACAGGCAAAATGTGTACAACACAGCCAATCAGAATGATTCATGTAAATCGGAAATGATTTTTTTCTCTGCTTTGGATTATTTAGTCCATACGTCGTAGTAAAAAGAAATCAAAAATTGCTTAACAGAAGAAAAACGAAAAGAATTTTAGCTAAACATGATGTGCGGGAAGGAAGCGCTACGTATATTACGAAAAAAAAAGAATTTAGTGGACTGATTTGTCATCTTGGATCTGAATTCGAAAAAAAGAAAGAGAGAACAAGAAAACAAAAACGGTGGCTCCATTTCGTTATTGTTCTTCAGTTTTGTTTATTATAGTTGCGTATGTAAATGTTTTTTTTTTCGTTCAACAATTATTTTGGATTCGAGACCAACGCGAATTATCACCTAGAGAACAAAAAAAAATTAACCAACAACAGCAACAGTAAAATCATCAACAACGAAATTGTAGCAGTAGCAGAGTAATAGTGGCCACAACAACGACAACGACAAACTACTTGCACCAAGGAGATCCACAAAATCAATGAATTGCCTCAATGGAATAGATATTTCGGCGAAAGCGAATAGGGAACACAAGAAGAAAAAAAACATACATAAATAGCAAATCAAGACGCTGCTAAAAGCCTGAATCAATCTTAAGCAAAAAAAAAAAATTAACGTAAAAACAAATAAACAACCAAACAGTTCACACACAAATTTTGTGTGTTGAGTTGTGTGTGTGGACGCTGGTGTGTGTGTGTGTGTGTGTGTGTGAGCGTGTATTTGTGCTGCAAGTTTTCTCTCATTCTCTTGACTGAAATTGAAGAGATACAAGAGAGCAACACACACAATACAACGGTTGCAACGGCGAGAGAATTCGTTACTGGGATTTTGAACGACGGCCATGCCAAAGAAGTTCATCCGAAAGCCCATCGGTATGGTTATTCGAAACAGAAAAGCAATCAAGGATGGTGTGATCACGGTAAGTGAGCCCAATGCAATTTCTCTCTCTCTCTCTTTAGATATAGTATGTCCATGTATACGAAATGCAATGCAAAAAATTCAAGGGTTCTATCCTTATCATACAATTTATGGGAAGTCAGACAATAGCCAAATAGACCAACAGGAAGCACGCGTCTCATTCATGTAGAGAGAAAAAAAAATCATTTTATTTTCTTTTGTCATATTATCATAGCCATATTCGTTTGTTGTCATCGAGAGCGCGATTCTCACCATTAAATCAAATGCCATTTTGTAGTACACATACCTTTTATTATTGGCGATTTGTCTATGCAACAATAAGTTTTCGACCAAACAACTTGTGTGTGCCTTTATTTATACATGAATTCTTATTTTTCGTCTTCTTTCTGTGTGCCTATAGATTGCTTGCAACATTGCAAAAAAAGAAACGCCATATTTTTCGTTTTCATTTCGTGCATTTTTATTTAATTCTGAATTATTCAATGAAGTAGCATTAATGCTTTTCGATGTGTGTGTGTGTGTGTGTGTGTGTATGCATCAAATAGGGAAAATAAGCAGCAAACTCTCTCTCTCTCTATTTGTGCATATATCGTAAATCCATGTGTATAGTTTTTGCTTTGGCGAAGCGTTCGTTTGTCTTTATTTCGTCACAAAACACTACGCTGAAAATTTATACGACCTTCTGAAAGACAGCGTACATATGACAGCAGAAATAATAATGAACCAGTTGTAGTATACCACACGGCGCTACACTACATACCCATGTACATATCTATGTTATCTCGGTTCCTTTCTTTCTCCCTCCATCTGTCAGTCTCTCTTATTCTCTACACCCGTGCAGAATCCTTTTGTGAGTTACAAAGTACTTCGCTGTAATACTTAGATGCAAATTAGGTACAACATTTAAATCATCTTTGTCGAAACTTTGAGGCAATTTTCTTTCTTCGAAATGGCCTTTTTGGATGAGAGATAAATATAGAGAACATTCCGTGTAGCCGTGCCCTTTTTTATGCTTGTGGGTCAATTGATGATGATTATTTAGCTGTGCATTCATTAGCGCTTGTTGTTCCTGAATCAGGATACTAGCTTTAGCTGAACTGTGTGACGTATCTTGAACAGCAACTGGGGTAAACTATGTACTTGAACTAAATGAGAAGCATTGATTGTGCAGTTTCCGTCGTTGTTTCAGCGATGTTTCCAGTGATTGCGATATCGCTCTCAGCATCTCATAGGATAACTGAACGAGATAATTCAGCTGGCTGAGATGACGCAGCGACGCAGCGACGCAGCGACGCAGCGACGCAGCGACGCAGCGACGCAGCGACGCAGCGACGCATCGCCTAAGTCTATCGCCCGAGTCTTTGTGATACACACACACAATTCGATGCCGCGCGTCACTAAATGGGACTGAGTGTATAAGGATACCGCTGGGCGCATTGTGTGTATGTGTATCGCACAGACTCGGGTGATGCGTCGCTGCGTCATCTCAGCCAGCTGAATTATCTCGTTCAGTTATCCTATGAGATACTGAGAGCGATATCGCAATCACTGGATGTTTCTCTATCTCTATCTAACTCACACATTTGCGAACGATCGAGCGCAGATATAATTAATTAGTGTGTCTGTACCACTGCAATTGTTCAACTTCTTCTGGCCATAATTCTATTGTGTAGTTCCTTTATTTTTCTTTTGCTTTGTTTTTGGTTTCTCCGCAATTGTACCAAGCAAATATCTGTGTTTAACCGGTTTATATACTTGCTAAAAATAACAAATATTTCGCGTAATTAGTGTGTTGGATTCGTTTTGAAGCGAAATAAAGTTTCACTATAAACACCGGTCAACCGAATTGTTGTCAAAAACAAAATCCAAAACTATTCTGTGGCAACAATTTTGAGGTGATCGTTAAAATTCTGACGTAAATTATTATGGAACAATAAATGGTCTACGACATTCATTTCTCTTTTCATATGATTTGGCTTGATGTATCATCAACATGTGCCTTGGTGATAACGACGGCAAACCCGTGTATCGAACGACACAGATTTTTCATTCTCGACGCATCGAGGAAAAACGAATTACTCTGCTAAACGCATACGCGCAACTGTGGTAGCCTTGTTTCTCTTTTTTTTCGAACATCATGCGATTATAGAAAATGATAAAAGAAAATAGATTTCTTTCTGGTGCTGTGTGTATTGTGTATGAAAACCAAACAGCTTGGATAGACCGTATTCGGTGGTGTCTTGTGTCATCTTCGACATTGTCGTCGTCGCCGTTGTCGCTCGAATGTGACCTAGTAGAAGTTATTATACTGAAAGAAAAAGAAAATACGATTCGATTCATACGACACATAAAATCCTATTGGCAGACTGATTGTCAGTCAAAGTTTCCATCGAATAAGAACGACGACAACTCAACCTTAACGAATGTATAATAGATGAAAATGAGAACGAAAAAAAAAAACACGACAATGCGGATTGGATTTTCCCACATTGTCTGACATTCCAAAGGCCGGAGAGAAAAACCCTTTGAAAATCGACAAAACCCAACCGATGAACAGCTCAATAAAACGCGGCAAATCCTATTTCAATTGAAGTTAGGATCTTTGTTAATGTTTGATACATTCGTAGTCAGTGACTCATTGGTAGGTAATAAATCGGAGGATTTAACATGTATTTTATATTGAATAATTATGCTTTCAACAGATACTTTATTGAGAATTACTCGTATGTATCCATTTCAGAAGCAATGCTTCCATCATCAATCGTCAACTCACTGATGACTCCAAACATTTGTACCATATTTCGAATATGATATTTCGATGCGTTGTAGAAAACATGCGCGACTCTTACCCACTAATAACTACATCAAATTTCATTGAATGAAGAAAAAAAACTCATCATCTCTTCTCCACACAACTCAAAGTCATTCGATGCTCAAAAAGTCACTTTGAAATATATACGATGTGCCGAAAAAATGTATAGATCACGTACACACCCATACAAAGCGATTAATTTTTCAGTGAGCTCATGCTTTGATATTTCGTTGAGTGGATATTTAATGCGTATGATATCTTTTTCTTTTTCGACTTTTCTCAAGTCGATACTGATTTGTCGAATCAACGTTCATTGACTTTTAGTGAAAATAAAATGGCAATTATGGTTGAACAGTTTTCTCTCTATTTCCCATTCAATATAATATTCACATGGATTGAAGCGTCGCACCCAAAGTTATCCAATATAAAATATACAATTAATTCGAAAATGAAAGCAATCGAATGGAAGAGCCATTCATCGAAATGTGACCTCGCGCCACAGTTTCCGTGTACAGTGGAAATTCAATTAATCCTCGATAAATCGTTTTCATTCTCGTCATTAATTACATACAATCGAACAAACAAAAAAGTTTGCTGGATTTTCGATACAGTCTCGAATAAGTAAAAAAAAAAGAAAACATATTTGTTGCGATTTGTCAATCCGTTTTGGGTATTTGTTCAACGTTCAGATGACAAATATCGTTTTATTCAATCTACGACGATGAGGGATAAAATGATGATTTTTATTTTTGCACGTAGTCGAAAAATAAATAACTTGAATATTTCCCAATTGGAATAGCACAGCCTTGTGTGATGGCTGTGTGAAACACTGAAACAGTGCTTAGTTCGCAGCGTAACGAACACAAGCACACAAATAATACATTCTAAATGAATAACAACTGTAATTTGGTGGCAAGGGTTTGGTCTTTTGTTATCTCCGTTCATTTGTTTTTTCTTGCTTCTCCTCTATGACGATTTAGTTTCTGTGGTATGTAAAAATGTAAACAAAATTCGATTTTTTTTACGAAAATTTACAAACGCAACGCGGTGTGCATATGAATGACACGTATTTTTTTCTCGGTCTCACTCAATTTCAATAGGTAATGTCTTGTCGTTCTTTTTTTTTTGGAAGAGATAAAGACGTGATTGCTCATATCATCCAAACGTTTTTTCAACACTTTAGCCGTCGTCTTGTCAATCATGGACCTAATTTTAAAAATCGTTTGGACTGAGTAAGGTGGCATTTTTAAGAGCTACGCAATTTGATAAGATAATTAGTGCCGTGTGTGACAACAAAGAAACCATTTTATCGAGAAAACACAGAAAATAAAAACGATTTTTTATCTTATCGTTCATTTCATAGAATCTAAGCTGACGCTCGAATATACGGTCGATTTCACAATGTTCGCTGATAAATATGTAAAAGTTGAATAAATACCATATAAACTAAGAGCGTAGTGTTAAAAAAAAACAGAAGAATTATTGGAGCCGATAATAAATGAGTCATCTAGTTATATATTGTATCAAGTGGATAGAATGAATCAATTTGACATCGTCAATTAAACTGATTCCATATCATATCAACGGTGCTTTTGTAGTAGCGCACGCCAGCGCTAGCAAGCTCAACAATGTGAATGTCGTTTATAATGTTACAGTGATTGAAGTTTCATCACGTTTGTTTTTTCTTCTTCCATTTTTTCAATGTAGGCGCTGTATCGCGCCGTCAATGTGCTGTTATGTCAAGAATAGCAAATTCCATGAGTGAATTGTTCGGCTGATACAAATCACATTTAATCAATATGTTCAATGCAAATGCATACCGTTTTTCTTCTTTTGGAACCAGTCAAAATTAGCGGTACTTAATGTACAGCCTACCGAGAAATTATCATTTACGAGATGGGCGCATAAAATAAAAAAAAAAACTGTTTCGTTTTTCTCCGATGTTTAATTGAAAAAACTTGGATTTCGCATAGTGAAGGTTTTAATGAAAGCATGGGCAATGTTATTGTTTCCAATTATTTTAATCACCGTGAATTCCATCCCACGGTTCATGATCAGTTTGATGAACTGGGGAAAAAAATATGAATGTTGCATTCAGCCACACGTCAGATGTTTGTCTCAAAGCGAGAATAATACGAACAAATCAAATAAAAACAAAATGCAGCAGATAAATGGAAAGCGATTTGTTATTCATCCCATAATCTTATTGTCTCAGCTGTTTTCGATATGATATTGATTCAATTTTATTCGCTTCTCAGTTCGTTGTGATCTGATATATCGAAGACGTGTGACAGTATTGAAAACAATTGATTCATGTGTTAGTTTGCTTATTGTGAAACATGTGCTTGACGATTGACGCGCCTATTCATTGTCGAGAAATAATATTGATCACAATCAGATGATATCCCCTTGTTATTCATGCTATTTTCTTTCATTTTATTTTTCTCTCACCGTTTTTCTCTCTCTCAGTCGAAATGCATTTTGTTCGTTAGCTAATGTGTTTTATTTAATTTATTGTTGAAGTAATTTTCTACGCTGATATCATTGTCATACATCATCACATTTAGTTTTTTTTTCTTTTCAAATAGTAATCTAATTAATTGTGGTTTTGTGGTAATTGTTTTTGGAATAAATTTATTTTGTTCGGTTTCATTAAAAAAAAACATGATTTATCTGTAACTGTCAAAATTCCATCAAATCCATGTCGGATATCTCATTTCTTTCTTTTTCACACATCAAACAAATGCCATTGATTATATCGATGGATAAAACCATATCATACAGAAAAAATATATTTGAAAAAAGAAAACATAGCGAAAAATTAGTTGTGATATCAGCACTATCTTCGTTCCAGAGGTAATGAAACATCATCAAATATGAACAATGGGTTGAGAACGCAAATATGTAATAGAATTCCTTTAGCTTTTTGCTATAAAAATTTAATTTAACAACAACTACAACTACTGCTACTACAACAAAAACAACAACAACAAATAATACAAATGACAGACACTATAATACATTTATTTCTTTTCTGTATCTCTTTTTGTCTTTTATTGTATGATTTTTCAGTTCGATGAATAGAAACTTTAGCGTTTGTGTCTGGATGTGATGTTTGCGTGTATCAATACATCATACGAATAAAAGCACATTGTTCACGTATTTGCCCATAAATTTCAATTTAGAATACATAAAACAAAGCAAAGTATACAAGAGACCAAAAGCTCAAGCTCCAAGCATTAAAAACGCTGAACACACAAATTGACTGACCCAATTTGATAGTTCGCGCTCGCTTAACGAAAGAGAAGGAAAAAAAAACGCCGCCGCCGACAACAACAACAACAACAACAACAACAACAACAACGAACAAAAGCGAAAAACCAAACGAACACAGAAAGAAAAAAGTAACCAAATAACAAAATAAAATAAAATCGAAAGAAAGAAGAAAAAAAACGCAAGAATTAGTAATGCGATGACGCCGACATCACCAAACCCAACAAACCGACGCACAGTAGCATAAAAATCCATGCATACATAGATTGGCGCATTCTAAAGTGAAATATAGTCAACAGCCGTGGCGTCAATAATACCAAAGCGTATACACACACGCGACACACAGCCCCGATGTTAATCGAATTTACAGAAGCTGTGAATGGGTCATAAATAAGGCGCGTTAGCAAGATAGATAGAGAGAGCCAAGGAAAGACAGATAGAAGTGTTTCAAACACGCCGCACATCGATTTTTGCCTAGATTCAACGGTATTTTCCGCATATTCTTCTATACATCGCCCAGACTGGTCGTGACTTAGACAATCGCCCGATTGTTGACAATTTTTTCCGCTTTGGCTGTGAAAATGAAAATGCGGCGCACGTACTCATTCATCCATTGCTCAAATTAGTGATTTTCGTGTAGGCGTTTTAATTTCTACACCCCGTCGATCGTGGAAAAGCGAAACGAAATCAAATTACTGGACACTTGATTCCAAGAAAATTTATCACTACGTTCAATGTGCACAGAAGCACACGTACACAAAAACCGAACAAACTTAGTGCTCTTTAATCTAGTTGATATACATCGTTGCTGCTGCTGCTGCTGCTGCTCATAATTGATGACATCTATTCAGTTGAATGCACACACCGTTGTTGAATAATTAATTTAAATGAATGTATAGACCAGATGAATATGCGGAAAACAATGCTTGACATCAGTACAGCTAGCAATTGTTCATCTGAAGATACCGATTCAACACAAACACGATCCGGCCTTGTATCGCCATCACCACAGCCGCCATCATTTCGAAACAGTAGCACATTCGATGATTTGGCCACAAACAGTCTAACCAAACATTCGATCGCATCGAATGCATCAACTCAAATCAATATAAACATAAACCAAATTAATAATAATGATAACCATCATCATCAATTGAATGCGCCACTCTCATCGTTCCGTAAATGCCAAAGTTTCATTCATCTAACAAAAGCTACGGATAAATTACAGACGTCACTCATTGATTGCACTGAGCAAAGTGTACGTCTTCGAAAAACTGCGTCTACTCCGAGCGCCATTTACATGGCGATCAAACAGGAGCACCATTTATTATTGGTGCGCAGGATCTTCAATCGTTGCAAGGTTATTTTGATTTTGTATGATCTTTTGTGCTTTGTTTGTGCGTACGTACGTACGTGTGCTGTGGAGCCGCCCAACAACCAAGCGGCTGAGAGAGCACACACACATAACCGACCAATTCTAGATTGGCATCAGTTTTTATCGGTGTTCGTCCGTTATGATTTTATTCTGTTCGTTTTTTTTTTCTTTCTCGTTTCGTTGTTGATATTAATCATTTTGAGTTTATTCATTTCGTTGTACAACTAAATTGATGAAGCTCCCCACCCCTCTAAAGAAAACATCATCATAAATTATTCATCGCATACGCTGCTGTTTATTATCTCTAAATGTGTCGACCAAAACATTAAAATATCTTATTTGTTTCGTTGTTTTTTTCTTCTTTCGTTGACATCGTTCTGGAAGTTTAATGATGCATGTGGCATGCATCATTTCGCATAAATTGCACTATATTTGAACAATCAGAAGAAAATGAATCATCAATCGAACCAAATCAATTCTCATTCAGACTAAAACTGACAAATCAATGTATTTACAAATATTCCACCGCAATGGCACACACACACTACCTGTTTTTAATAGAAATTGTGTAGGATCGCGTCTCTCTCTCTATATATATGTCATCGTCTTTCACACGCAGCCTTCAAGCTGTGCGTGTGTGCATTGTGCACACGTGAAATACAATCGCATTGACAGTCAATAAGTACAAATGGCTTCGTAATATGTTGTTCGTTGCATGCGTCCCGTCTGTTATGAAAGCGTACTATTCTATTCACCATGAATAAGGACAAATATGTGTTGTTGGTGTGTTTTTTTTTCGTTCAGTTTTTGAATCGACGAGTATTTCAATAGTTCATTAACCACGACATGGTTAATAGACTTCTAATTAGGGGATTTTTGAATCGATTTTTTTTCCGCTGTCGCTCTCAGAAAGAGAATGAGAAACATTCTCTACACACATTGTGTTTTTGCATGTGGAATATAAATGGAAATTACGTGTCGGTTATTATATCATTTGATGCGGCAATAAAAACCATTTCGAGCTCATTTTTCGCAGTAAATATCAGAATATGACCTGTGTATATGTTTGTGTGTGTGTGTAGTGTATTGTAACAACACGTTCTGTTATCGGCAAATGATTAGATCGATGAATATGCACAAAAAAAAAACGAAATTGCCAATGCGACACAGGAGCAATATAATTCGGAAGCGGGCACTCGTTTTCGTTGAATTTAAATTTTAATTTGTATATGCAATAGTTTATATATTAGTATATTCGATACATAAAGTAGTATACTATATTCGATACATAGAAAATTTTCCATGTGGAAGTAACTCCACTCCAATTGATATTAGGGACGATGTGTGTGAAATTCGATTTGCCAAATAAAAGAAGAAGAAAGCGGCAAACAAACATTTTTCTCGATTATTGTGTGTGTGTGTGTCGGCAATAAAGCCTTGATACAAATGTTGATAAGGTCAAGTTTGTATTGCAGCATAATCTAAACGCTGCATATTTATGCCCAGCCATGGGAGAGATACACAAAAAGAAGCCGAAGAGAGTGATTCAATTGTGCGACAGAAGATGACGAGAGAATATATAACAACGAATGTGTTGTACTATACATGACGAGGACGACGACGACGATGGATCATAAAAATCGCTAAATTGACTCAAAGTCTTTAATATCACACGACAAATACGTGTCATTACATGCTTCCACGTTTTTGCTGCCGTCTCTCTAACTCTCCCACATTTGATTTGATTGCAACGCAAGTCAGACAGAAACTGGCACACTCTAGAAGACATTCTGTATTTTTATTTGATATTCTTTATTCCATTATTATTTCACTCTCTATCCATAGCGCACACGATTTTCAATGGCCATAGAATCAATCACAAATGAAGCAAATCTCACAATACATTATTATATCATATGATTGGACATTGCATCAGATTACATTAATTGGGGCATTTTTCTTTTGCTGCCACTCTCTTATATTTCGTGTGACATTTTAACACTAATTAAATCAATTTATGTTTTCTAGTGTTATTTGTTTTCAATGTTTGCATCTTTTGTGACAATTTTCTTTGCATTTTATTTTTTCTCGTTACTTTTGTTATTCGATTGCAATTCGATAGCTTGTTTCTTTTTCTAAATGCCAAACGAGATGAAGAAAAATATCAACATGTGTACTAATAATCAATTTCACTTGAATTTCAGAGTGCCGGGATCGGGGAGCCAAGCGTCTATCATGCGTTAGTTGTGATATTTCTAGAGTTTTTTGCATGGGGGCTGCTCACCATGCCTGTGATAAGCGTAAGTCATTTACGAAATTCAACCATTTTATCGGATTGAATCGTGTTTGTTCACCCGTTCGTTCGTTCGTTCCCTTCCTAGGTCTTAAATCACACATTTCCGGATCATACATTTTTAATGAATGGTCTAGTGATGGGCATCAAAGGAATTCTATCGTTTCTTAGTGCGCCATTGATAGGTGCACTATCGGATGTATGGGGACGGAAGTTCTTTCTTCTGATTACCGTATTTTTCACATGTGCACCGATTCCATTGATGACAATCAATACTTGGTGAGTAGCTATTTTTCTTCTTTTTGCTCGGACACAGTGTTTGCCAAAGATATGAATCATACGTTACACGCTTTCTTATCCGAATTCAGGTGGTTCTTTGCGATGATCTCAATTAGTGGAGTATTTGCGGTGACATTTTCAGTGGTGTTTGCATATGTTGCCGATGTCACTACTACTGAAGATCGATCAAGAGCCTATGGCTTGGTATCAGCCACATTTGCTGCTAGTCTGGTATGTATTCACCGAGAGTATAATTTTATATCGATGATTTCATTTGTTAGTTCTGTTTTTCGATTCGTTTGCATTTACGATGAATGATTTAGATGTTCATTTCTATTTCCATTGATATTCTCTTTTTATAGGTCATATCTCCGGCACTTGGAGAGTATTTGCGTGAAGTTTATAGCGATACATTAATTGTAGCCTTAGCCACAGCGATTGCTGTTTTAGATGTATTTTTCATATTAGTAGCCGTTCCCGAAAGTTTGCCCGAAAAAGTTCGACCGAGTTCATGGGGAGCGCCGATCAGTTGGGAACAGGCTGATCCGTTTGCAGTGAGTTGTCTCTTCATCATTTAACGATTCATCCATCTCAGATGTCTACCACTATTTATATTGTATACATTTTCCATTCGCTTTCATAACAGGCATTGCGAAAGGCTGGCTTGGATCATACGATCCTAATGCAATGTGTTGCAGTATTTTTATCGTATTTACCCGAAGCTGGTCAATATTCCTGTATATTTGTCTACTTGAAACTGAAGATGGGTTTCAGTTCGGGCCAAGTTTCAATATTCATCGCCGTGATCGGTATTCTAAGTATAGTTGCCCAATTAGTCTTAGGTTGTTTGATGCGGGTGTTTGGAGCTAAGCGAACCATCATATTAGGTTTATTCTTTGAAATGATGCAAATGTTGTGGTATGGCTTTGGTAGTCAAACATGGTGAGATATTCGTGCGAATTCCAATTGGAGTTTTTATTTTATTCATTTCCATTATTTACACTTATAAATTTCAGGATGATGTGGGCAGCAGGTATATTAGCTTCGTTGGGATCGATAACGTATCCTGCAATCAGTGCGTTTGTATCAATTCATTCAGACATGGACACTCAAGGTAATATAGACCACAAAAAAAAAACATAAATAATAATCCAATTGGATCGAAATGAGAATTGATGAATGTGCTTTTGTGCAGGTGTGATGCAAGGAATGGTGACTGGTATGAGAGGTTTGTGCAACGGTTTGGGTCCAGCCATGTTCGGTGTGATATTTTATATATTCCATGTTGACCTAAATGACGAACATATGAAATTGCATCATAACATCGACGCATCGGCCGTTATACGAAATGAAACGATAAATCCAATGGAGGAATATACGACGCTGGCGCCAGGACCGCCATTTGTATTCGGTGCATTTATGGTGGCATTAGCTATAGTTGTAGCGATTTTCATACCAAATGAACAAAATGACCCGATGCGACGACCATCCGGTGAGAAGAAGAAAAAACGTAATTCATCCAGTTTTTTTTAATTTTATTCCCGTAGATTTATGTTTATATCTTCTTTTTTTTGTTGTTGTTTAGTTTTGTTACTTTAGTTTCATTTCATTTTCTGTATTATACGTTCGATTAAAATGCGACTAAAGCCAAATTTAAGTGATTTTCTTTGTTTGGATTTCGTTCATTTGATTGGTTCAGCTTTGTTTTGGTCTTTTCAATTCAATTTTTGATTGTGACATTTGCGTTGGTTCCGTTTTTTTTCCCCTTTAATTTTCTTTATTTTCTTGTTTCGCTTAATTTTCCCCATCTGATTTATTTCAATCCCAATTAATAGTGATTCTTATCTTAATAATAAAATGGAAATCGACAAACGTTAAATTAATTGACAATTGATTTTTTTATAGCACCATTATTAGAACCAAATATACGCTAGAGGACTGCATGGGCAAACCATGTTTACAACTACCGTTTTTACAAAATGGCAAAACCACCAAATACTTCTGTCTGTTCAAAAACAAATCAAAGCTAACTCAAAATGTAGCAAAAATGATGTGGGAAAATTCTGTTGCAAACCAAAAAAAAAACAAGTCACCAAACCAATCTTCACATATTCCAAAACTAAAAATCAACAAATCATAAACCACCTCCCCCCAGTAGTAGTAATGATTTTGCTTGCTTGCTTGCACAACCGCGTGCCAAAATAACGGTACAATTTCCATGTACTGCGCATCTGCAGACCTCTATAAAATCGCTGTAAATAAATCTTTGTGACTTATTTCTCACTTATACCAAATTTGGTTACAGCGAACGTCTTGATTCCAATTAACCAGTGTCCCTTTTTTTTCTCTCTTTCTCTTTCTATCTCTATCCATTTTTCCCGGGGTGTCACATCTTGCCTTATTCATTCGATTTACGTTTGGCGGCGCAATTTAGGTGTATCGCTAGACATTCACTATGAGTACGAGTACGAAGGAGGACGGAAAGTGGCTGGACCTCTATCGCCATTAATGCAACAAGATTCAGCACAGCTATAGTCAACAACAACAACAAATACAAATGATTAGCAAATAAATTAATTAATAGCTTAGAATTGTCATAATCATTTACAAAAAAAAAACCAAAACAACTGAAGAATGGTAATACAAACAACAAGACATATTCATACAAATTGTAGCTACAAAGCGAATCACATCTGCAACATCAACATACATAACAAAAAGTAAACGACAACAGATGACCGATATGATTAAGAAGAAGAAAGAAACTAATAATGAACCACCTTGTGTTTGAACACTCTGTCTCACTACAAAAAGAAAAAAAGAAAATTTTAAAAGAAGAAGTAGAAGAAATTGAAATGAACAAAAGAAAATTATGATTACAAGAATTATTTTATTTCGCATAACTCACAATTGTAATAAGTTGAGTGAATCCATCGATCACGAACCTCTCAAAAAAAAAATTCATTCGACATATAAGATTTTTTCTGATCAAGACAAATCAACAGAGAGTTAATTTCCGGATATACTCATCTAGAATTACACATTGTAAAATTACTAACGGCGACACACTCACCAACAATTGAGCTACGGAAATTCTGTCTTACGAGGGAGCCTACCGTTTAGAAAAGAAAATTGGAAACATTATAAACAAACAAAGTATTTTATATTTAAATAATAAAAAAAAAATTATGAAATGTTTTTCTTCGCACGGGTTTAAACCATTTGTTTTGGTCGATGGTTCGATTGAGATTGAGCTCGCTGACAAAAAAAATCATCGATTGATGTGCAAAATATACAAACACACAAATCAAATATCCACACATCGATTTAATTTAAGATTAATATTTCGTACTATGAAATCGCAAAACTGCACTCTCATCGTTTCGTTCACTTTCCATTTTTTTAGGAATATGAGTTACCTCTTAACTTAACATTTTACATCACAAATTTAATGTGAAAGGAGCGAGAGAGAATCTACTTTTATGTGTATGTGTATCTGTGTGTATGAGATGAAGAGAGAGAGAGAGAGAGAGAGAGAGAGAGAGAGAGAGAGAGAGAGAGAAAATAGATAGGAAGCATCCGTTAGAACACAGAATTTTGTATTCGCAAAACAAATGGAGATGTTTGGAACAATCATCACAAAGTCTGTTTCGAGTCGCAGTTGTATACTGAACGCTTGCACTGTGGATGGCTTGCACTGTGGAAACTATATCAAATCTTATGTATTCCGATAATTTTCATTGTGTTTTCAGAATGTCTCTTTCGAAAAACAATGTACAAGCCGAAGCGTTCGTGTTGTATGATAGCTGCACCGCACACCGGGCATACATCGGTGCATTCACACTTCAATGAAACGTGTTTTCATCAAAAGAATGTTCCGCATTACACAATTCAAATGCGGCCGTTTTGTTTTTCATTCTGCTTTTTATACTACTATGGCTGACTTGGTTCATACACCAATTTAAGAGTGACTCACAGCTCATGAACAACGAAAACATTTCGACCCTTATACACGCAAACCCCAACTGAAGTGCCATATTAACCAAATGCTTCGATGTATGTGCCCTCACATTCAAAACAAAGACTGTGTACTTTTGCAAAGCTACATTGCTCAGGTCCCCAGCTATAGATATCATACTCGGTTGACTATATTTGGTTTTTTCTTGTTGTTGTACTCGTTTGAATGAACACATTTTCGATCAATGAGCTTGATTATATCCATTGAAATAGTCAATATCATTTACATTGCCCATATCCGTTTTGGAAACGACACAAAAAACGGTTTTCCTTAGAAAAAAAAACGACACAAACTCGCAGAAGCTAAAATGGAAGAGAGCACCATAAATTGTTTCAATTTCGTGTAATTTGTATGTTGTCGAAAAATTTGAGAATGTGTGACATTGCAATGCCACTGTCATTTCGAACAGACAGTGTGTACGAATCTACACAGCTACCGTGTTTAGCTCAAGCAAACAAAATGTTTTCCAACTACACCAGTATGATAACTACAGCACGTATTGGATTATCTGGTGCTGCTGACTCATTGCCATTGTCACGGTCGGTCACGTTAGCATTACAATTTTTTTCTTCTTCTAATCAATTCCGGTTTTTCTCTTCTTCCTCTCACATGCCTATGCCCATAAAACAGTCGTTCAAATTGACGTTCGTCTCGCAATGACTCAAATGACGCGTGAAATTGTTCAGTCAACATCATAAATTGAATATTTGGCAATTTTCTTTGTCGATTTTGGCATTATTTCAACTTGTTTTATTTATGAACCGAATTAAGACGCAATCAAAGCTAAATTCGAAAGCGAATACAATTAATTCGGTTTGCAGAAGAAGAAAAAGAAAATTATATTGTTCCAATGAATTTTTAGTTTATAGGACTGATTCGGCTAGTATTATCACACCTTAAAATACAAACAAATGTGCGACATCTGATGCATTGCTGTTTAAATGTACAGCTTCAGTTTCGGGTTGTAAACACAAAAAATCCTCTTTTTTTTGCTTAATTCCTTGTATTCGTGTTATTATGCAAAATTTATTTAAAGAAGAAACAAAATGAATGGAAAATTGAATATAAAAACTCTGATGACAAAAAAAAAGAAATAAATTATTGCACTAATGTACAATTATGTATGTATATATTTTAACGAGCCAAAAATTATATTAAAGTAGAAATTATATTGAGTACTGAGATGAATCGAGAGTGAAAATATGGTTTTTTTGTGATGTCATTTGTGCGTCTCACTTCTCAGAGAGAGAGACACAGTGTCTTAGTTCATTTTCAAGAGAAAAACAAAATGATTGCATACCTGCCATAGTGACACAGTGATGGCATGACAAAGGGCACATATTTTCACTCAGAAAATGGTTGAAGAAATGAACGTTATATTTTTTTAAAAATTAAATGTGACCATAATTGAAATGGAAAAGAAATAAAAATTGAAAAGAATGACTCTATTTTGAAGTGAAGCAGAAAAATAATAATTATAATTTGGAAAGAGAAAGAGAGGATGAAAATAAAATGTAAAATAAATTAACTTTATTATGAAATGATATGAAAATTTAAAATAAATTTATGATATGGAATTTTCCTTTTGTGCTATGCAAAATTTAAGAATATTGATGATAAAAACAAACAAAAATGAATACAAACAATTCTTAATCCTTCTAATTTTTAATGACTTTGAATTTATAGAGGCGATTTGTTTGATGAGGTGAGTGTGAAAAAGAGATAGGAAATAAAAGTTTGAACCAACAAAAAAACAATCCTCTTGTAAATATTTATGGTATAAAATTACTTTTGTCACACACACACACACTAATCAAATGGAGGCATAGGTATAAAAGAAAATGATGCATGCATCAGCAGTGAAGCTACTTTAGTTTTTCCACATAATCTTAAATCTATATATATTACAAAGAGAAGAAAAAAAACAATTAATATTGTTGATTTTATTAAATTCTAAATGGAATATACGAAAATCGAATCATAGACCAATTTATTTGATGGCAAGCCAATTCAGTATCTAATGTTTCACGTCTTTCTTTCGTATTTTTTTTTTTAAATGTTCTGTCTTGCATTACATTCACACAACAAAATTCAAATGTGAGATGAATCATTTCCATGAACAGTAGAAGAATAAATTGTGAACGAAAATTAAATCAGGAATATGAAACAGGACAATTGGAGCGTAAAAATCCAATGAACGAATCGAACGGAAGAAAATCTAAAAAAAAGAGAGAGTGTGTGCTCTTCAATCGGTTTCAGTTGATATTCACAAATCGCGGCCTTTATAGTTATGGCCTGTATCAAAATCAATTGTCTTGATTATTGTGGGGAAAAAAATGACACGTATGAATGTTCAAATGTTGGCCATCACTTACTTCGGGCCAATTTCTTCTTCAGAAACGTGTGACGATCCATTTCTCAGCTTCAGAAATGCAAGCTAATCTATTCAGGCATAAAATTTAAATTATAATTATCACAATCATACGCACCAAATGTATGGAATAATCGAGCTTTGTACTAGCAAATCGAGCATTCGAAGTTCACCGAAAATGATCGCCTTCAACGATTAAGCACATGATGACAAAAATAATTGTCTCCAATTTGCTTTCACTCCGTTAGTGATTTCATATTTGTGATTTGTTATATTGTGATATGATTAAAGGGAGAGAAAAAAAAAATTGATGGAAAATATTTAATTTAATGGACGCAAAAAAAGCTTCTTGAGATTCGATTCCGAAACACACACTCACACACAGAGTTAGATGATTAAAAAATATTTACTAAATTGAATGAATAAAAGTAACAAAAAAAAACACACACAGAGACACAATTAAAAACATTTCTGGAAAATTACCAATAACAAAGCGATGCAAATTCAAATAAATTAATTTGTGAAAATATCAGTTTCCTTTCATTTGTTTTCGATGTGGATAATGATCGTTTTTGGGGTATTTCTTTTCCCATTTCATCGGTGCAGAAAGTGAAGTTAGTCACTAAGTATTCGGAAGGCAGACAAGGCAAGACAAGGCAAGACAATGGTAAAAAATGAGTTGTGCCGCAGTCATTCGATTAGTGGTTTGTGAAATTCCTGCATTTGTTCTAATTTTTTGAGCTTGGAATTTCATTGGACGACATAAAATATTCGTTATTTTTTATTCTCCTGGTTAAAGCATTTTTTGTTCCAACTTTGTCTCTTTTTCTTGAACAACAAGTAGAACATTCGTTCAAGCATGGATTTTAACATACAAATCGTATACAAAATTCAATCATTCGACTAAAATTAACATTTTCGGATAAGAAATGGCATAGCATTGACGCGACAACCGAGAGAACAGAGAGACGTAGAGAGGCGAATGAAATGAAAAAAAAAATGCCGCACAAAAATTACGTGCTGAGCCTTATTCAGAGAGTCTGTCTGCGTCCGTTCCAAATATCGCTTTTAGACCGAAATCTCAATTTCAGTAGAACAGTGCACAAGCACATTGTACTGAGCACAATGTGACATTGATACGTATTCCTTTGCGCAAATACGCGTTTATTGAATTGATATCTCTCGCGTATTGCGACCGAGTGAGATACGAAGCAATGCGATGCAAGTTTTAAAAATGAGCCGTTTCGATTCGTATATTGCGCGACATAAAAGGTATGCAATGTGCACCAGCCTACCTTTGGATCCAATTAACAAGAATTCTTCGGTGTCTTTGGCAGCTATACACATATATATATATATATATAAACCTGAGAAGAATATGGAATTCTCAAGTTCTACCCATTGCTAAGAACCTAATGTTAAAAACCTATTTAAAAAAAACACTTAACATTGCTTCTGATTCTCGTCTTCTTTATTATTTTTTTTTT